ATTCGAAAAACATAAGAAAGCTTTAAAATGGTTAAGGAGAATCCTCATAAAATGATAAATACTATAAATTTATAGGATATATTATATCCAAAATTGGGTACATGTATCATTACTATCAGATTACCGACTATTTAGTGTTAAAAAAGAATTGTATATCTTCATAATACCTGTCATAATGCAAATATTCATTTACATGGCAAAGTTTTTACCTTGAAGTTTAAGACCATAGTTCAAATGAGAACTTTTAAATACAAATCCTACTTTTTGAAGGCTGGTCCAAGAACACTGTTATCGTTCTTTAATTTTCCTGGTCCACTAATAGTCCCTATCGTGGACAGTGTATTAGTTGCATTTTTTTATTTCTTCATTTTGTATGCCTCAAATATGTAGCTACATGTACATGTATATAATACGGTTAAATACCGTACTAGGGGTGAAATTACATTGCTAAACAAATTTGGGTCATAAATTTTAAAGTAAAGTTATGATTATTGCAGTGTTTTCAATTTGGTCTAGACAAAAAAGGTTAACAACTAGTATATCTGAAGCATTCAAAAGAATTCAAGACCCCAGGCCCCTTAACCTAAAATTTTCCATACAATTAGTTAAGAGCTGATGAATTTTTCTTTTATTTGGATATACATGTATATTTTTTAATTTGCATTTATTGTTTAAAAGAAACGCACTACGAAAATAACTATGTTCTATGGCCAGCTGTTAACTTTGTTCCTGATGATCATATTCAGCATGTTCAGTTATGTTGTCTTTATGCAAAATGAAGTCCCTTACCAGAATGCGTGCACCACAACAGAAAATATCTTTAAATCCAAAGCTTATATTTTTATCAATGACAATTTGTTGGGTATAACATGTATAATACCCATTTATGAGGATCCAGATCCTCCTAAACCTTTATAGTATTATGGATTAACTCATGTGCATGTAACATGATTAATCCCCTGATAAACATGTTAATATTCAACATGTACAAAGTCTTTAAAAAAAGTGAAAATTTCGTGAATTCAAATTTTCTCGCATGCATATTCGGCTCATAACAGGATATAAATGTTTGGCAAAGTCTTGTTTTCTACCTGTTTGTAAGCCTTGTACAAATAAAATTTACATTTCGAGTCAGTTAATGGTTATTTTATTGATATCTACACATATAAAAATAAAGAGATGTGTAATCAACACGATCAATGCCAATGAGGCAACAATCCACCAAAGTTCAAATGAAGTGGATTTAAGCAATTATAGGCAACTGTACAGCCTTCAACATATATTGACAAAACCCATACTCTCTAGTCACTTATAAAAAGCCATGACAGTACAGTTATGAAACAATTCAATTGAGAAAAATTAACAACCTAATTTTTAACAAATTTTGTCAAAACAAATTACCATATGAAATGTGACAATTATCAACCAATGACAACTACTGAACTACAAGCTCCTGACAAGAACAAGCTGCAATTGAAAAAGGGCTCAACTCATAGGGTTGATTTAAAGCAGAAAAAACATCATACAATTCAGACAGGAGGTGGCCGCTTATTTATACATCACTCCCGTCTTCCCACTTACAAAAATGTAACTACAGGCCTGTAAAACTCATTTGAACAGGCCAATGGAATCTTTATAAACTTTTCAAAAAATTGAGCTTCAGGCTTGTGGTCTCAAAAGTTTACCGTGAAGGCTGTTATGATAATTAGGGCCCCGCCGAATGGCGGACGCCCTATAGTGATCAGTCTGTCCGTCTGTCAGTCCGTAACAAATTATGTCCACTCTATATCTAGAGAACCGTTATGATTTCAAAGTTTATACTTGACATGTATATTAACCAACACCAGAGGGTGTGTCATAATTTATGTACAGCTTCCTAGGTCAAAGTTCAAGGTCATAAACTTCGGTTTCAGTTGACAACCCCATGTCCAATGATAGAGATACAAATTTTTTACCACACATTATTCACAGCGGGGCCCACAGAGATGGCTCCCATCTCAATGATATCTAGTTATTTTAATTATACTGTGTAAAATCTTGATATTTTAAATTATTTGAGACGACACAAAATTGCAGAAAAATATTATGCTTTGAAAAATTTGAAAATTTCTAGTGAGCGATAAGAGTTTAATAATTTTTTTTTTTCCAGAGTTATGTCATCAGATACAGAGTCAGAATGTCAAGAAGAACAGCTGTCATTGGCAGAACTGTCAAAATGGGCCATAAAACCCTTTAAATTGCGATTTCTCAATAATTCGTTTTCAAACTCGATATGTTATTGATATTTTGATACTAAGAAAATTATAAGGGTCAAGGTCACCGGCTTCGTTTTTGCTGTTTAAGTTTGAACTGAACTTTAAAATTCCTCGACTCATATCAATTATATACTATTATTGTCATGGTTTGGCGTTGTATAAAAAAAGATATAAAAAAACAATGAAAACTAAAGCAAAGGCAACATGGACAACTTAAAACACAACTAGGGGTGAACTCGAGTGCTGATTGTAAGCAATTTCACTAGGGACACCTGTCGTGTAATTCGTAGTAAGTAAAAATCTGCTAATGAGTCACATTCATTGATGTCACAACCGAAGACAGGAAACGTAACTATGGCTATGAAACAGACAGTGACACGGATCTTCCATAACGGTTAACTAAGTCATGATGAGCATGATGGCGTCCATTAAACTTTAAAAGGGATCAGAGGCGGATTTAGGGGGGCAGGGGGCCCGCCCCCTTTTTTTGGGAAAATTTGGTTGATTATATAGGGAATCACTGAAGCATGACTGGATCGGGCCCCTTCTTAGGCAGTCAGTGGGCCCCACATATGAAAATTTCTGGATCCGCCACTGGGGATGACTTCAAGTTTGCCAATAAGAAGACTTGATTGAACAGCTTCCTGATAAGCAGTAACTTTCTAAGTAAGAAATCATGATAGGAAGTGCAATTAAGCCTTTGAATATTTTTAACTGGCATATGTTTACTATATATATGCAGATTCTTGATGTTTATGCCTATTTGTGAGATTGAAACTGAACACAAATCTCGGGAGTTACTATGAAGTCAATATCTTATTGTTGTGGCAGTGGTTTTAGAAGTTAAATTTAGATATAGATTTTTTTGCATTTCTGTTCCTTTCTTCTTGCAGTTTTTTGCAGACAGGCCAAGTAACTAAATTTCAATACGGATCAGATGCAACTTTCTTTATGGCCGTGTATTGCGTACCTATAATCGATGTTCCACAAAAATTGTCAATGAAATCACGATTACCGTTGTATAACCACAAAATAGCCAGCAGATAGGATGCTCTTCACCCATCTGACATTTGATATTGTTCGACATTAAAACAGTTTGTTAATATGATGAAGGTGCTTTGTAACGTGTCCTTAAAGAATGTTAACAAATGAACAAACCTTAATACCAATATACAAAATTAGAAGCTTTAAAGAGCCATTGTCGCTCAACTGGAACTGTCTGCATTTTCAACACTAAAGACAAGAACAAAATATCACTTAGATCTCTTTTTTGTGTTAAAATTGTATTGTTAATATATTTTTTTCTATTTTCAATTTCCCTCTTTTTAATAAAGTTTTTGCCAAAAATACAAAAATGCGAAAACTCATCTTTCAAGGGCAATAACGTCTTTAAAAGTTTAAAAGCAAATTAACAATATCTGTTATGTTAACTTCTGTGTAGATCTTGTATTGCTGATCACATTTGCTGATTACAATCTTGTTTTATTATCTATTGTTTTGTGTCCAACACAAACAGAGTGAAAATCTTCCTTTAAAGTAAATGACTCTTTTATGGAGCTGACAATTTCAGTAATGGTGAATCATTTACAGATCTTGTCTTGCTCATCATTTTTTGATGTTTACAATTTCCTTTTATCTACTATAGTTTTTGTTAAAAATGCAAAAATGGGTAAACATCTTCATTTAAAGACAATAACTTCTACATGGAGTAAACTGACAATATGGTTTTCAAGATAATAAGCAAAAACAATATGGTAAAATCGTCATTTAGGGGACAAAAACTCCTACAAGTCGTTTGACAGTTTTAGTGTAAAAAGATAATAGGTAGATCTCAACATTCTGAGCATTTCTGACAGTCAGATTTTAGCGGTTTTCAAGATATGTCCTATAATTAGCGGCATGTCGGCCATGTTGGTTAACAAACGGGATAATCGGACACATTTTTATATTTTTTAATAGGATATCCCAAAGATATTGTGGTCATGTTTGGTTCAATTAGTCCAAAAATCCTTTGGTCAGGTGAGATAAAAAGAGGCAGAAGATGCCATGGGAAGATTCAAAACTCATAAGTCGAAGAGAAACTGTCAACTCCATTGCAAAAAAAAAACGACATACGACGAAAAACAAACAAGTCATAAAACACTATAGAGACTATAAAGACAGAAGCAACACGAACATCACCAACAAACTAGGGATGATCTCAGTTGCTTTGGAAGAGTGAGTAGATACTGCTCAACTCGTGGCACCCATTATGTTGCTTATGGTTGGAACTAATTCGGTGATGTTACAATGGAGGAATAGAAAACCGGATTGTGGTTACGACAATTTGGACAATTTTATCATATTCGTTGGTCATCTGTGATACAGATATTCCGACAAACGGACATTCGATCCAATCATGATGGCGTTGGTAAAACTTTCATAGGGAAGACTCCAACTTTACCACTTGGAACCCTCGGTTCATTAGCTTTCTAGTAAGCAGCAATCTTCTATCAGTGAAATCATGATAAGAAAAGCAAGCTCTGGAATATTTTATCGACTGGAAATATAAGACTCCATATGCAGGCGTTGCTTGAAAGTTACTACATGGAAATGGGAATTTAACAATTGGGAAGCTGAAATCATCCCTTTTGTCATAAAGTTTTGATATCAACAAATGCCACATTATAGTCCCTGTAGCGTTTAAGTATCACACATGCATGATTTCACAGCTATTATTACAAATGTATGTTTAAGTAATAGAAAAACAATAACTACATTTTATTTCAATATATAATATAACAGCACTTGCATAAGGACGGAACATTTTTGCATCACAGGTCATAAAACTCAATACACAACATTTTCCAAAAATAAATTTAAATTTATGACAATATGGGACGTAAAAACGAACATTAAGCAAATGCATTTAGTTATACATAAAAAAAATAAATGCCACTTTTAGCTTAGAAATCTACTTTCAAAGCAACTTATAATATCACAGAAGATACTGAAAAATAAATATCCACATTTTGGCTGATTTCAATCATTTTATATTATAACAGATACACATTAGTCATGAATATACATATACTGATTTTGGTGTGTCCAAGTTTTTATTGAGCCAGTTTATAATATACGTGAGCAGTCAATGATCTTATTTATTGTACTGTTAACTCTCAGGCTTTTGATTCTCTTGTTGCTTCAAGAAGTCTCTGAAATGTAAATAAAAAGAATATCAGCATATCTTCAAATTAATGATTATAGTCATTTAATGTGTAATAGCACTGGTATAGGAGACTGTTCTATGTAACTTGGTTTAGCAAGGAACATAAACATGATTTCATTTTCATATAGGAAAAGGCGGATACTGAGGCAGGATACTCTGCCATAATATGTATTAACTGCTATAATGGTCAATTATATTGACAATGCTGTTTTGATTTAACTGCATCTGTTTAGCGTTTAACCATTAGTTTTTTACGAGTAATAATCATCTTTGTCCATTTTAATACCAGGCTTATAATTTGGTACGTCAGACGCGTGTTTCCGACGGTCTAAGCATGGAAGTATTATAATGACTTTCATTTGAGTTCCATGAGCTAAATAAAGTCAACAGTAGTAAACCGATGTTCAAAAGTCATAAATCGATTGAGAGAAAACAAATCCGGGTTACAAACTAAGCCTTGAATTGACGTAGGAATCGCTGTATGTACGTGTTTGTCCTTTATTCCATTTTAATGTATTCATCATAACATAAACACAACAAATCTCACAAAGCAAGATAAAACCTATTGCTTGTATGCATTGTCAAATATATGTGCATATTTCAACGTTTTAATGTGCGTGTATGACTATAGGTATGACTCCTTTCCCATTGTGTGTATACGGGTCTTATGAGTAAAAAAGTGCATTTAATTGTGTTGAAAAAGTCATCAAAAAGTGCAAAAATTTCATACTATCCAGATCCCAATAAAACAAATGATATTACCAAAATAAAAGACGTATCACTAAAATATACAAAAAATATAAGACAAGGTCAATAATATGATAGAAATAAATAGATATATATATTTTATTATACTTCATGTCAAAAAGCCAGATTTTGATTGGTTAATATGAGGGAAATAATTTACTCTATCCCATGGGAAACACTCTATTACTCGTCACGGAGATTTTTGATCAATTGTGCGCTTTATTAAATACGAATGGTCGTTATGTACAAGACGTCAGTTTATTTCTTTGATTTTGAAATTTTAAAGACAGTAATAACAGAACATTCAGTATAATAAATTAAGTAACACATATCTGAGAGAGTGATAGAGCAGATTGTTATTTTCTACCTGGCTTGTCCTCAGTTGACAATGTTTTCTCGGGGTAATAATCTGCTCTACCACCCTCTCAGCTATATGTTATTTACATAATATTCTTAATGTTGTCATACCGGTATAACTACATCAAAATTTCCAAACTACCCCTACAGTGATTGTTTTATTGTCAAAATTGAATACTTGAATGCAGGGTTTGAAGTTTTAAAATCAGTTTTGTTCATATGGTAATTAAACATCATATATGGAGTTTGTTATTTTTATTTAGAAACATGCATGGTTTAAGGAGTATGGATTTTTTTTAAATATCGTATGGTTGCTTAAATCTAGTAGTACGTCATTTGGACATATTTTTTAATAGCTGTCTCTTTGGCAATTATACCGCATCTCCTTATCTTATATTGTATATAGATATAGGACGATGTGGTATGAGTGCCAATGAGACAACTCTCCATCCAAGTTACAATTTATAAAAGTAAACCATTATAGGTCAAGGTACGGCCTTCAACACGGAGCATTGGCTCACACCGAACAGCAAGTTATAAAGGGCCCCAAAAAAATACTAGTGTAAAACCATTCAAACGGAAAAACCAACGGTCTAACCTATATAAAAACGAGAAACGAGAAACACGTATGAACTACATAAACAGACGACAACTACTGTAATCAGACCTTTTTTGGGTTAGTTATGCCTTGAGTGATTTAGTCATATCTTTTACACCATGGTATTTAATTGTTTGTTACGCCATTTGACACATTTCCTGGTTAGTATGACAAAGGATAAAACGTTCAGGATAAGTTTACTGTATAGTACTGAACATTATTGGATATAAGTTTATTTTAAATTTTGACATAACGATACTAGAATTTAACTCGAAAAAATCTACTTAACCAGAAAGGTAATGAATTTGAATGTTCACGAGAAATTCCAATTGTTGGAGTATCGCATATTCTTCAGCAAATTAATACACACCCGAAATAAATTCTCCCCGATTGGTCATCTGCTAGTTTAAAAACAGCTTCTTGTACTTTTGGCTTATCATAAGGTACTGCAAGTTCCTGTAACATTGTAAAGAAAGCAAATATATTTTCTACCTATCAAATGTTTAAAATATCGCATACTTTTTCCAAACGTCAAGATTGCCGATAAAATACTATTCAGTTTTATCACTTTTTGACTTGATTATACCCAAAATAATATATCTTGAAGTGCACACCAGGTATCAAGCATTTAATCTTAAAGTAAATAGTTTTTATCACTGCGTATCTTGATAACATTTTCATTTTTTTAATGTATTTGAATTTATCAGCTTGACAATGTACTATACGAATTTGCATTGTTATTTATCTTACTATTGTATGTTTTATGCTGCAAACATACCACATGAGATGACTGTATAAACGTTTGTGTCTATCGTATAATAACTTATACCAAGAAGTCATTAAATGTAATTGGATATCTTGCATTTATCATTCTTTACAATAAACTAAGATCAAATTACTGAAAATCCCCTTCCCTATTTGTTGGCATTAACTTACCATGATATCTTGGTGTGAATTAGAATGTCATTCGGGCTAACGCCCTCATGGGTGAATACTGCCCTCATGGGTGAATACTTATCTTCTACCAGCATATGCTTCTGAATAAGTTTTATTACTGACGTCGCTAAGAGGAAAATCATGTCCACTTTAATTTTAAAATTTCCAATTTTTGCCAAAACATCATCATTTAATTATATAAAAGCGTTGCAGTATAAAAACAAAAACATGCATAGTATCGGATTTAAAATTCAAAAATATACTCGACAAAATACTGGATAACTTAAAATCTTGCATGTTTTCCCGTTTCCAAGCTTATCACACATGTACATTAGGAGACAATGTATAGATTTTCAAGTAACATACCTCGATTGCTGCCATGAAATCTTCCGGTGTAACTAATAATGTCTGATCAGTGTTATATCTCTTTAAAATGTCTAACAAACGCATGTCATTTACAACTATATGTTCTTGTAACACTAATATGGGAGCCACTTTCTTCTTAGGATCAATTCCCATTTTGCCTAGATCATCCGCTGTATTTCCAGTTCTTAAAACAGGTCCAAATGACACTTTAAAATCTGGTTTCTTCATTTTTATATCTTCACAGATCCTCAAGAACTCGTACTCAACTGGGACATCCTAATGTAAACAAAATTATAAGTTAAAAATGTTCTTTGGAAAATAAGTAAGCAGTAATTAATCTTCAGTAAGCATATTGAAAAACATTTTTCATTGACGAATTTATGAAACCAAAACGCTGGACCAAAATGAAAATTATATTAATAAATTCGTCTCTGTTTTTTATCTGCTTATTATTTGTTGTTGTTTCATATATTCGATATCCTTTATTCATTTCATTTACGATATGTAAAGATTCCGGTTGATTTAGAGCTTGTCACACAGAGTGGGTACAAATAAAAACACTAAAAGTGATATATAGAATAATTTGCATTCGGGTCAGAAGCCTCTCATGCTTTTAGGATAATGTACCCTTTTGTTGTTCAATACTAAACAAATGGACATTTTATAAAAAAAAAATCCACTGCCTTTCACCTTGTACTCCTATATTTGACCATTCGGTGCTTACTAGATAAAGGATTATTGCATGCAGTGCTAGCAATGATTTCACTGAAACAGGTATTTAAATAAAGATATTGGTTAAAACAAGTATAAAAATTGACTTATTTTTTTATTCAAGTACACCTTCTGGATGCGCTCGACTTAAGTGACTCAGCATGAGTTTATTTTTATTGTAAAGGTTATTTAGGACGTTTTGTAGACAATAAAAGCTAGCACATCATGGGACAAACAAGTGAGTAATCTATGTTTAGAATTTTAAAACAAAAATCTCTGTAATAAAGTCTTAGGGTTTTTTGCAAAATTCGTGGCTTTATTTTCTATTGAATGCAATGAAAGATTTAGCAGTATTGCTTTACACAACGTTTCCTTTTGATATATGTAAAAAAGGGCACGTCACTTTTATTCTGTATTTCTGCGGTTTTGAAATTGTAACAGTTTGAAAATTTCGTAATACACGGTCCTACAGAATTGGATATTAACCTTAAATGCTGTTTATGTCATTTGTCTTTTTTATTGCTTAAATTTTGCCTTTATTTCTTGTTTTTTTTTTTAAATATCATAACTTCACTGCGGTATAAATGATCAACAGTATGATATTGTTTTTATTTCGGCAAATTAACCAGTGCTTATACAGTGCATCACGATGACAGGTGTTTTCATAATGGTAACTTGCATTTATATATAATATAGTGTCAAAGGTTGTAACAATATCCCGTTTTACATACTATTTTCAATATGGAGATACAGAATGCATAGTAAAATAACTATGTCGGGGTAATCATTGAATATTTAAATTTCAACAACTTCCTTCTTAGCTAAAATAGATATATAAAGTGCTTTTAAACAGTTTTTAGTAATATAAAAACCTGTGATTTTTCTACGCTCTACACTACTCTTCCTAATGCTCAATTGAAAAATCGACTACATCAACTCGCAAAAATAAGAAACTTAGATACAAATTCCTTGTTTTAGGTCATTGAAAATCTTACTTTGTGAAGAACCACACTGATTACCACAACAAATACACCGAACCTTCAAATGCTCGACATTTTGATCGACAACATATTTATTGAGTTTGGAGGAAGGACCTTTCAGCAGACAGTCGGTATTCCAACGGGTACTAATTGTGCACCACTACTGGCCGACTTGTTTTTATACTCATATGAAGCAAAAATTTACACAGAACTTTCTCAAAGACAAAAAAATGTACTTCTTTAATTTCACTTTCAGATATATTGATGATCTTCTGTCACTCGGTAATCCACATTTCAATGAGTGCTTAAATTTTATATATCCCAGTGAACTTGAAATCAAATATGGACAAAAGTAGAAGGTTTGCCTCATATCTTGATCTTTTCCTCGAAACTGACACAGACGAAAGACCGTACAAACGGGAATCTATGACAAACGATATGATTTCAACTTTCCAATTATCAACTTCCCATTTCTCAGTAGTAGCACACCCTTTTCTCCATCGTATGGCGTTTAAAGATCTGAACATCGGTTAACTACTGTCGCATTAATCTAACACTTCAAACTATACATTTTATGTTTAAAACGAAATGTCAAGTGTTTTCTTTTCATTTGATTTTTAAATTATTGTTGACATATCAATATTATACTAACTGTTAAGTCCAGTTCTTCCATCTCACTACTTTCAGATTCATTGATAACCTTAGCCAACGCAATAGCTCCTGCGGTAGTTAATAGGTTATTTCCCATCTGTAACGAAATAAGAATAATAGATTTTGACAAAAGGCGAGATTAATTCCTATAAATGTGTGCAGTTTCTGTTTTCGTCTTCATCTAATTTTGAATTATTATTACTGCCGATTGATAAAGTAAAACTCAGAAGAATTGTATAATATTATGCGATGTCTAAAGATCCTTTTAAACAATCAATCTTCATATTTTCATAATTCATATATTCAGTTGAAAATACTATAGGGAAGGCATACTGTAGATTGTCTTATTAATTAATGAATATTTTTCTCAGAAAGGATTTTTGAACATCTGCAATTAAGGATCTTTATATTTATCAAGTTTTATTTTGTATGCAATATATCATAAACGAAAGAGCTATGATGAAAATGTGGCAAATAAGAACAAGGTTCAAAGACATTGATTCTGGATAAAGAACATTTCCCCTCGCCGTGCATATCAGAATCCTTTTTCTCATGAGTTTGAACCGAATCCGTCAATGCATAAACCCTTTAGTCTTTGTATACACATAGAGTAGGGGAATTTGATATTATATGACATAAAAGGGGAGGTAACGCTAAGCTGTAAGGTCAAATTACAGTAAAAAGGCCATATGTCATAGATTTTCATAAGATTTTGCATCAGAAATAATGTTGAATGAATTCTTTCAACATTTATATACAGATTTATAAAGAAAGAACGTCAACTTTGTCTGAAAATCATAAAATCTCCAAAAAACCAATGCATATATTTTTTAAAAAATCGAAAAGCTTTTTGGTGCATCAAATAAAATAATGGTATCTTGTGTGTATAAATCTATACCTGATATACTTGTGGTGAGATTTCTAGAAAGCCAAAGGCACACAATACACTGTGAACATACACAATGGGATTGAGCCTTGACAGAGAAGCTCATTTGTTAGAAAAAAAGGAGATCTTGAGGATGCGCAAATCTTCTTACATTTATATAAAACCCATTAACACTATTTAACCAAGAAATACACCACAAGTAAAACAGATTGGACTTTTGCATCTTATTCGAAACATGTACGTATAAATTTACGCAACTTGATCTACATCGAGTCATCTGCTGCATGATTTTATGTTTCTATTTCCATTTCTTTTTAAATTTGATACTACTAGTACCTGTCTTCAAGAAGGATCTAGGAATCAGTAAAGGTATACGAATAATAGAATTGCCTCGGACAATTCGATTAACTCATTGTAATCAACAGTTTTATGAGTAACAATAGGAAATTTAATTTCCAAAACCTTGTAAACCGGAAGTGTTTTATCGTCCACTCTTTAGAAACAGGATGCGAACTAATTACATCTTAAAGTTATACAATCAATAATGCATTACCATAATTACAAAAATCAATTTAAAGTTATTAAATCATTATTTACTTGCGTGATTAGACCCTCTTTGAAGTAGTTTGCATTATACATGCATTCTGATTTCCCCAAAAGCATTAAACAATTTGCACGTCATTTAACCAATCTTTTGGAAAATAAAAAATATATATCGATTGACCAAACATGACTGGATTTTATTTTAGCAGATTTTGTGGAAAAAAGCTATCAGTTACCCTTAGTATGCGTAAGTTGTCGTTGGAAAAGATCGATTTGGCTATCCTGATCGCTGCCTCGGCGTTTAGACGATTACCACTAATGTCGATCTCAAGAAGTGAATTATTTGTTGCAAGAGCATCTGCAATCGCACATCCTCCCTGAGACCCAAAGCCATTCCAACTAAGGTTGATTCGTTTCAGTCCAACATTCTCCTGTAAAAGGGTAAAAATACATATTCAACAAAATTATTAGCAAAAACGTTTGAATTATCAACATGCAAAATTTGTATTTCAATTATAAAGTTTTCCTTTTCCACATCTTAGAAACAAGTAATCTTCTAGAACTTATCTTACCTTGATTCCATTGGCAACTGCAATAGCCCCCTTTTGTCGAAGATGGTTCCAGCTTAAATCGATTACATCTAATATATCGTTAGCACCTGTTTTGAATGAAGAAAACTAAAGGTAGACTCAAATATGAATTCGGTAAATACTGTACAACAGATGGTTGTTTTATTGTACAGCAGAAAATACACAAAAATAAGTGAAAATGACTTTAATTTGCATCTAGATATGTTAAACTTTCAGTAGAAGTTGATTATTTTTGTGACATCTCTTCATGTATGTCCATGCTTGTTTCCGTCAACAGAAAGAGTCCAAAAGGAATTATCTCCTATTATTAATGCAAAAGTCTGTAGTTAACATTTATTATGAACAATATTATTTGTTAATATGGATTTACGATTTGCTGTGACAGTGATGTTTCATTTTTGTTTGTTTGTTTTGTTTTTATCTTATAAGATGTTTTATATCAAGTTCTATCGCTAACGAGTAAACTAAGACTTTTATGTAAACCGCATCAAGACGTGCTTGCTTCTTTACAGTACCTGATAAATAAAGGCAACAGTAGTATACCGGTGTTCAAAAGTCATAAATCGAATGAGAGAAAACAAATCCGGGTTTTAAACTAAAACCGAGGGATACACATCAACTATGAGAGTAAAACAAAGGAACAACAGGAAAACTGAAGTGCAACAAAAACAAACGCCAACATACATAGAAACGAACTATTTGATAACAACTGCCATATTCCTGACTTGGGACAGGACATTTTAAGAACAAATTGTGGGTTGAACCTGGTTTAATGGCTAGCCAAACCTCCCGCTTTATGACAATGTTAAAAAATATCGCTAAAATGACACTACTACGTGACAGAAATACAGCACAAACACATAATACAATAGACGACACAACGTGCAAACCACAGAACAACAACGAACATATTCCATCAACGATAGACACCACAGGATATCACAAACAGTGACGCACTTACGTAACTAACATGCAATCTCGATCTTTATACAATTATTTTCACAATAATAACATACATGGTTTTCATGTTCCTCATGGCAGTTTATTTGGTCTGAACATTGTTCTTGGAATTATTTACGTTTTTTTTTCTGTTTTTGCCATCCGATGTATCGGGTATTTCTTTTTCATTTTTTAACTCAGTTAACCTATATCTATGTTGATTGTATCCCACTAATCAATAGGCTTGAACATTAATATTTATTAATTTTATAAAAATAATTCATGATACGTTTAGCTCAACCATTTCCTTTTTTATCCAACAATAATTATTCAATGTATAACATGTTTGCATCTCGCACAAAACCAATAAACGTATATTCTATCAGGTGGTTATGACAACACTACAAGCGCAAATTAGATACATATCTATATTTCTACAGTTGATACGTGCTTAAAAACAGCTTGTATGTCTGTTTTATCAAAATAACATAGATTGCCAGTTTAACTAACAGATACATGCACTGGTTTTCAAACTAAAAAAGAACGTGTGTGATACCTTGATTTAGTTGAAAACGTGTACTTGTAAATTATAAAAAGCGACAGAAGTTTACCGATGTTCAAATCTCGTAAATCGATAAATGACACAATACTAGTGTTACGAAAATATTTAGAATTTACCTATAGCAGCTCCTAATATCTCTCCGCCTTCTTCGCCAAATAAGTTATGACTTAAATTCAAATCTTTTAAATATTTATTATTCTGCAAAACAGAAGAAATAAGTCTTAACAAAGTAGTCATAGCTGCATGCATATTAATTTTCATGTATGAGTATTATATTGTACTGCATTGGTTTTAAGATGCACCTCGTATTTCATTTCAAGTTTGTTTTTGCATTCACTTCTTTGGAATATAGTTCGGCATTTCAATAAATTATCTATAAATGCGAATTATTGGTTAAGTTAAAGGAATAAAAAAAAAGGCATATCAAAATTTATTCTGACATATATTATAAACATCCCAAATGTAAAAGACCACTTAATTAAAATTATGCTTAAAACATCTAGTCTTTATTACAGATTGATTTAACCTTAGTGTTGAAAACTGAAAAACCTTATTTCAATGTGAAATAATTGTCTACTTTATATAAAAAATTAAGTTATAATACATAGACTTGTGGAAATAATATTCTGTTCATTAGCGTAGTGCATACTAACTTCTAAAGTGGTAACAAAAAACTTGGCATCAGAATCAATAAAACCATTTCCTGAAAGTAAAAATAAAATTTAAACCTGTTTGAGCGGAAGTGGTATTTCATTAACGCTGAACTGAAAAATACTTTTGACAGGAAAATAAATGTATGCAAGTTACTTCATTGAAGATAAAATTACATAATAAAACACTTTAACTTATATAAAGGATGGTATGATTTGTAACCTGCATTTCATTCACTTGTTCATTTCTTTATTGTTTTATTTACCATTACAATATGCGAAAGCATATGCAGATACATATCACTTTTGACCGAATAAGTCCATGTTCCGTAACTTGTAAAAAAAACTTAACTACATACCAGACAAATTAATTTTTCGAAGACCTGCATTCACGTTCAGCATACGACAAATACTTTGTGCTCCTTCGGATCCTAGTTTGTTATCTGCCAAACTCTGTAAGAAAACAATCATTCTTAATTTGCTATAGCGATTATGAAAGATTAAGATTTTGCTTTGAAAGATGAAGGCAAAATATGTAAGAAATAATCAAGTCTGATTGAGAAAAAAAAACAGGATACTACAGAAAGTTGTACATTAGGCAACAATGTCATGTAATGCGAGATCAAATGTGCATTTGGCAACAATTTCAAGCATACGAGAGGTGGTGAACTTGAGGCAAACAAATCGTGTAATACATGAAAATGCCAAATACCAAAGATTTTCTTTATTTTAACGAAAGTAAATCTTCAAAACGTTATATGAAATAGTTTTTTTGAAAACAATGCATATTTATAATGACTTCATAATTTTGTGAGTGAGTAAATATTTGATCATGATCATTGTGTAGTGCAGATTAGAATTGTTATTACCAGATCTGTTATGTATTCATTTTCTTCCAACATCCGGGCAATAGCTTCACCTCCTTCTGCTTGTATCCAATTTCCGTCCAAGTTTAGTTTTTCTAGTGATATATTATCCTGTAAAAACATCAGAAACTTGCAAGGTGGCAACATCTACTAGTATTAGTACTTTCAGCAATAGCTAGTATTGCCTCGTAGCCTTGTTTATCAAAAACGAAAATGGATTTTCTTTTTACTGAATCATTTCAACTTGTGTATACATGTATTTTCAAGCGTTTTTTCTACTTCCTCTTACGTTTTTTTTGTTTTTTTTGGGGGGGAGGAGGTGTTATATCGACGATGAAAAGATATACAGCATAGGCTTGACAAAAGCAAAGCACAATAATTCAGAGATAATCTTCTTTCGATGTTTTTTTTTAATAGATTCTTGTATTCAAGTATTTTTAAGGGAAAAAACACAATCACATTAACAAAACAAGCTGGCAAATAAAAATGAATGGTATTTGTTTAATGCATAACTTTTTGGAGTTGTTGCTATCATTTTTGTTAAGGGTGGATGTTTTGTTTATTTAGTTTTTCAAACCTATGGTTTTGGGCGTTTCTGATATTCAAGAGTCACGTGTCATTCCAATTTAAATCAGTGTATTATGTAATTTACATACTAAAAGCATTACGTGTGTGTGTTCATTTTTTAATATTCCGATTGTCGTTTCATTTATCCAAATTAGTTTGAACATAATTATTTAAACTAGTTAAAATATTTTGACGTATTAGGATATCATTTTAAAAAATGGAACTAATGAGTCGATTTCGTTATTGGTAATCGATTGTTATAATTGTACCTACTCTCAACACAAGGGCAATAGCTTTAGCCGCTGTTGGACTAAGTCCGTGGTATCGCATAGTGATCTCATTGTCTATGATATGTCGAACAAAATACGATATAGGGACAAGTCCGTATTGTTGGCAGATCTTTAAGTAATTACTTTTCCCCGTTGTATCGTGGTAGAAAATCTCTTCTGAAAATAGACAAACACAAATACTATTAAAAATTAAAACTCTTCAAAAGAAAAATTCGTAATGATTTCATGGGTTTTAAAAAGACTTGTTGTTCAACTGAACTAATATTGACAACCAGATAATTTAAACATAAAATATTCATGAAATGAAAATATGATCTTTGTTGGTTCTTTCTTGTGAAGATAATTCATAAATTCAAATTTATAAATCTAATTATCTTCCGTATGGATTTTAACTGTCATATTGTATGCATGATGTCAGGGGAAAAATGTTTGGACTCTCTTTTCAAACATAACAACAACAAAATTACTACGCAAGTGAAATACAAATATGTTCCATTGTATTGTCATGTGGGTTTGCAGCCTGAACATTAATTCTGAATTCTTAACAAATCAAGTGACCAGCAATTTGAATCTAGTTTTAACATAACGTTTCCATGGGGAAAAAGCATAAAGATCTTACAGAAATCAGTGCGATAGTATCGATTATAATTACCAAGCTTCCATTTCAAATATAAGGATTTACTTTTTTTTTGTTATCAGTTATTAATAATGACTTTAAATCCTTCATTATAGCTGTCAGTCTGCCTGTGAATCGACAATCGGTTACGAAATGGTATAAACAAACAAAAAAGCACGTAGCAACGTTTTTTTTTTATTTTATTTTTTATACAAGAACTTACGAGATCTAAATTGAATGAATGCACTTTGAATTTTCGAATAATGGAAAACACAATGGAAAATATGAGCATGTTATGGTTGGCTTTTTTACGGATTTTAAAAACTGTCTGATTGCTATAAAAATAAGCTTTTATTCAGAATGTTTGCACGGTCAGTTTTTATTCTGAAACGAGGGGAAAGCAAATACCACAAGAACAGCACACGTAGTAGACCTGTGTCGTCCTCAACATGCATGAAATATCATCTTGGACCATTTCATCCAAATTTACCCATATCCACGCCGTATATCTTTCATGCAAAACTAGGGCCAATTTGTGATAGTCATGTTTGTTCGGATATTGTACTCTTACCAAATTCATAACTTGTATTGATATTCTGACACTACCTACCATCTACTTCTAAATCTGTATCATAATCATCCTCTGTTAATTGGGGCTTGTTAGTTTCTTGTGGCAAGACAATGTCCACTTCCTCCTCACTTTCAACATCGCTACCATAATCAACATCATCTTTCAATTCAGTAATTAAAATGTCTTTTTCTAACTCAAGCGGCGATTCTGGAACCGCAAACTCATTAGCCGGTGTGCGTATTAACATTGCTCGCGACCTTTGTGAAGGTACACGTGTAGGACCTTGAGTAAGGTCATCTCTGGGACTAAGTCCATTTTTATTGTTGTTTTTATCTTGTTCTTCATCTTCAGTTTCCTCTTGGACTGATTCCAAGGGAAAATGTACCTAAAGATGATAAATAACACTTGTTGGTTCATATTATTAACATAATTTGGCGAGATTCATTTGGACATATTAAACTGAATTTTACTGTGCGTATTGCTGTGTTTCTTTATTCTACACTGGCTAGAGGTATAGGGGAGGGTTGAGATCTCACAAAACATGTTTAACCCCGCCGCATTTTTGCGCCTGTCCCAAGTCAGGAGCCTCTGGCCTTTGTTAGTCTTGTATGTTTTTTAAATTTTAGTTCATTTATATGTTTTGGAGTTTAGTATGACGTCCATTTTCACTGAACTATTACACAATTTTATTTAGGGGCCAGCTGAGGACCACCTCCGGGTACGGGATTTTCTCGCTGCTGTTGTCTACTCTTTGGTCGGGTTGTTGTCTCTTTGACATATTCCCCATTTCCATTCTCAATTTTATATTTTGTATTTTTTAATGTCTTTTAAGTAAGTTTATCGATAATTTTTATCATCTATTCAAAAAGGAGAGTGTCCTATAACAAATATTTCTTTAAATTGTGTTCCTTTGTGACTGAGTTGCATATTTATCGTATATCAACAATTTTTTTTAGTATACCTAACATTATTTTATATGGACATAATTAAAAAGTAAAAGTATAGTCATTTGAAAAAAATGGGAGAATACTGAACCGTTTATTAGTCATGGATGAAAGAAATCAGAAAATAAAAACATGATATACAGCTTGTAATTCAGTGGTTGTCGTTTGTTGATGTGTTACATATTTCTTTTTCGTTCATTTTTTGTACATAAATTAGCCCGTTAGTTTTCTCGTTTGAATTGTTTTACATTTGTCATTTCGGGGCCTTTTATAGCTGACTATGCGGTATGGGCTTTTCTCATTGTTGAAGGCCGTACGGTGACCTATAATTGTTAATTTCTGAGTCATTTGGTCTCTTGTGAAGAGTTGTCTCATTTGCAATCATACCACATCTTCTTTTTTATATTGTAGGAAGTTGTTAGTTATAAGTTTAATGTGTGCTCTCAAATATACGAACAACCAAATGACTTTGAATGAAATGCATTTTTCCATAAGTATACAAGTTTTCATATCCTTTTAATTTTATTGGTGGTTCAGAAGTTTGTTGCTCTTTAATGAATATAAAAGCAAATTGAATGATTTTTCTCCTCAAACAAGGATACGGATATTTTTTTAAAACTTTGTACCTTTAATGTTTAACGCATAAACAAACAAAATGATATTGATTGGCATGCATTTTTCCTCCTATAAACAAAAGCTCAGACGGATATATACTTTTTTATCTTGGGATAAAATAATATGGAATTTTTAATACATATTAAAAATTTCATCATATAGGAGGATTAAATTAAAACTAGGTCGAGAACTTAGAAGTAAACATGATGATATGGCGCCGTACAAAGCATGATCTGGATTAAAATGGTCAATGTTTGTGGATTTAATTAATTACAAAGTTCATACACATTGAAGAATGCAATCAGATATAGAAAAAAACGAATATTTTTTTTCTATTTGTTCATTCATTCATTTGTGTAACTTTGTAATATACAATATAAATATAAACATTTTAAATAAAAAATATACATCTTAATTTAGATCATTGTCTTGTCTCTTTTCATAAGTATTTAAAGTTTAACCATTAAATGGAACGTGTAATTAACACATTGTTTTAATTGAATAAGGACAATACTAATTTACAATGTGTTAGATCGGAATGATGACCTATTGAAAAAAATCATAAAGTGATACACTACTAAACAACGTACCTGTTGTGGAGTTTCGGATTCGCTCTCCATCTCCCCTTGAATAATCATTCTATGGAATCACTTCATCCTTTCCTTCGACTTTATGTCATATCACTGTTATATATGTTTTATATTTGTATGCCAACTGTCAGCCATTAATATAAACAAACTTTCGTCAAGTGTAGTTTAGCCTATGATCGATTCATTCAATTAAATGGCAATGGTTGACAGCGACAGGTTTGATCAGGTTTTGATAGTATACCTTTACATTTAAATTACCACGTAATCCGCTTTCATACCTGTAATTAAGTTAGATTCCTTTAAAGAAAATAAAAATCATTGGGAAAAGTAGCTTGTGCATTTAAATTAACAGTGTGTCAACGATGTTTTCTGACGAATTTGACCATAAATTTAAGAAGGGGAAGAAAAATAAAATATTATAATTAAATAAGGAACAAAGAAAGATTTTTTTTAATTCTATTTCTTAGGAAGACACAGCCAGTAAGGCATTAAGTACATTAAGGGAATCATGACTTATTGATATGAAGCTGTTCTTCCCTTAGTATAATCACAACACTTTGAATCATTTCATTGTAGATAAACTAGTTTCGCAGGAATGAATGCAGGTGCAAAAATTAATAATAGATAGTTACTTTTGAAATGTAGGCCTGGCCAAGAATACTTCTTCTGATGCGATGTAGGTCTGCGTAGCTTACATTGATATGATACTATACTATTAAACTTGATGGATCGTTACACAAACTTACTTATATGAGTATGTGTCACTAAGTTCCCAAGAAGCCTTCTCAAACGAGAAAGTTTATACAAGTCAATAGTGACCTAGTTTTTTTAAGACACAAAATTAAGTGGCCTCATCCAGGAGCGGAAGGCCTATAATTTTCACTTTGACCGTCCGTACGCGCGTCCGTCTGTCCGTCAACAATTTTTGTAAACGCAAAACATGCAAAGGTAAAGGTAGGAGTCAGAAGTAATTTTGCACAGTTGTTCTGCATCATATATTGATGTGCATATTATTATTTGGTGAGAATTTGTTCATTGATTTAGGGAAACAAACAGATTTTTGTTAAAAAGACACACAAATTCTGAGAAACGTCTTGTGTTAGGATTTCAATGAAAACTGATTCGTTGGTTTATAAAACATTTTTACTCCAAATTGACTCCTGGTATAAAAAAATTATTTCAGAATCTGTGAAAATTTGTGGAGAACATTGCGGTTAAAACTTCAGATTATGTTAAAAATAATAAAAAAAATTGAATAACTTTTTTCTGTGCTAGCATTGTAATGGACATGATTTTGAGAAACATCCTTTTTGCATAGATTGCAACATCAATTGATATATATAAAGGTACACTATATAAGATATTCAAAATTGATTTCAAGTGTCAAATTTGAAGAATACAATTCGTATTTGTAAAGAGTCATACACGATAAGGTATGATAAGGCAAGAATTTATATAGTTCTATATAAATCCTTGGATAAGGTCACTGTTTCTACTCCTGGAATTCGAAAATCAAAAGATATTATACATCTACCAAATAATATCCTTCAGATGTTCATAAGACATATATCAGTATCTTTCTAGTTTTTAATTTTGGCTTAAATATCTGCATTACGACTTCAAACTTTTTGAATTTAGTCCAAAACTGCAAAAACTGGCCAAAAATAGCCTGAGGTTTTGTCTTTGACATGAGCAACAGCTTTGATGAAAAATATCTTTTTGAGTAAGGCCGTACTGCGACCTATATTTCCTAACTTTTACGTCATGTGGTCTCTGGTGGATAATAATAATAATCATGGATTTCATATGCAAATTACATGCACACATATGGGTCAAGCAAAAACACTAAACATAACACAGTATTAACACAAGTCAAGAATTACAAGTATATAAACATAAAATAAAAACATAGTTATGGTAATGTAACTTTTGATGGACATGGACAATTGTCTCATGGGTTGGCAACCATACATCCTTATAATATCTTAGATTAGACATAAAAGGACCAGAAAAGAGGTGGAAGGTACCAAGGAGACATTCAAAAGTCTAGATAAACTGCATGACATGGCAAAAAAGCGAAAGACGACGAAATGACAAACAAGTTCAATAAGCATTACATAGAAAACTGAAGACTGAGCAACACGAACCACACAAAAAAAAAAACCGGGGAGATGTCAGGTGGGTAATCAGATTCTGCTCCGCTAATGACACCCGTCGTGTCACGTAGTCCTCGTGGTATGTACAAAATCGATGATAAGCCTCATTCGACGATGTCACATTCGAAGAAAAGAGGACGGGCTTGTAGTGAAGATAATTGTAACATATCCGTTGTCATCTGTGAAATTTTCTATCATATGCAACTATTCCAGTCATAATTACGTTCGATAACTCTGCATGTTACTGGTTTAATTAGGATTATGTAAAATTTACTGGTTACCCGTGTGATGAATGATTTAAAGAAAATTTATTATTATTTCACCTCGGTTAACATCCATTCGAGGTCTTCTTTTATAAATATAAAATAATATCGTAATGAATTTCATTGAGAATCGGACAACACTACTCTACATAGGTATTGTCAAAACTTACATCTACATAGGTATTGTCAAAATTTACATCGTGATTAGGTGCCATGTCTGTTTTCTTTGATCACGTTGATGTTATGACTTAATATCTCCTTAATCTAGCTATGTCCTTGTGTATTATTATAGTGACAATAACATGTCATATTTAATTTCAATATAAACATTGAAATTAAATTGAATTATTTGCATGGACAAAATAAGTGTCAAACATCGTCTACGTTTGAAAATTATTTGGTCGCCATTTTTTCAAAATTTAATAAAAAAAAACAACAGCATTTATCAGCTTTATCAAAAGGAACCAATGTTTGATTCTATACTACTTTACGGTAAGACAAGGACTGAAAACGGGAGCATCCAACAGTTATTTGATTTTCATCGTAACAATCTTACAAAATATATTTTTACCAAGTCGGCCCACGCTGTCAATGTGGTCGCCATCTTGAAAAATAATACGAGATATTCTGAAAATAGCTAATTTTCAAATCAATTTGGAAGGGACATAATAAAAAATTAAACTATTGCATATACGATATTTCAAATATTTATGAATATAGTAATAAGCACATATTTCCACAATTTTTCCATCTGTTTTGTTTAAATCGCAATTTTAGGTTTAACACGACAGAATATCCAATATTTATCGGAGTTGGATGATTAAACAGTGTGAACTTATCGAGGCAACAAGACAAGTTTTCAAAAGCATTTGGAAGGGAGAAGACCAAAATTTAAACTTTTCCAAAAGGCATAAATATATTTCTAAATATATGAGGAATTAATATATATTTCCACACTTTTTGTATCATAAACTTAAAGTAATTTATTTTATCGATTCCTGAAAGCCCCTGTGCATTTCTATACATTTTACTGGGGCATTATACGGGTGATGCGTGACGTCACCAAAGTCACGTGATGACTGCTATAGTTGGATATGACGCGTAGCGGTCAACCAACTCGTGAAGGCGTTCGTAAAACGTTCTAATTATATAAGAAATCATGATAGGAAACGCAAGCTCTAGAATATCGTATAGAATGGGATATGTATACTCCATTAGCAGGCGCTGCTTGAATGTTGCTACATAGAAATGGAAAGTTAACAATTCGAAAGCTGAACTCATCCCTTTCGTCGTAAAGTTTCGTTCTCCACCGACCGTCATTGTCAATTTCTAGATGCAAAGTCAAGATATTATGAGGCAGATTTAACTGTATCTGTGGTAACTTTATTTCAAGTTCGATTGGATAAATGCGTTCAACATTCTGGGCCGTTATAATTAGACAGTGTATGTTTAGAATGAGACAGTAGTAGAGGCGAGATCTTTGTGGCGCGGATTTAGTCAAATTATTTATATCTAAGGAGCTCCTGGGATATTTCAGGACCTCCATAACTCGATTTTATATATTTCAGGATCTCCATAATTCAATTTATTGATGTCGGTAAATATTTATGAAGGTTCACAATTATTTCAGAACCTCCATAATATGATTTCAGGATATCCTAACTGAAATGGAAAATGTTTAATGATGTGATAAACAATTATGATCTACACATTTTCTAGTAGCCAGAGAAAAACTAGATAGTGTTTTAGTTTCAATACGTACTTCCATAAGATAGTTTTCAGACTTAAGTATCCTAATAGGAATTAAGGCTGAGTTACGACTGCGACCCTTCGACATTTCTAAAATGAGTAACTGAGTAATTTTATACCGATAGTTGGCGACGGTTTGGTTTTGAATTTCACCAAGTCAATGAATGACCTAGTCACAGTGTTTCAGCAGCTTATTCGTTTATATGATGGCTACATTAATTTAGTAATTGATAGTGCCATCAAAATAATACATGCCTTCAAGTTTTTTCTTCGTTTTTTTCTCCAGTTATTCATTAATCATTTTATTGTCAGCATGCAATAGGACCAATTTTAACTGCATGCATTGTCCCTTTTATGATGGTGATGACAATGATTATGATGGATGGCTGTTTAACATATTAACAAAATTATTTGTTTTAAACAATTTGACAAATTAAACTCTAAATTTTCACAATTTCAGGATTAGAAAATGTTGATAGTCGAGCTTTTTAGTGCCCATTAATTTGTAATGAAATCTATTCAATACACCTTTTTTTAACATAATCAATAAAAAAAAGATCGTCATCTTCGCTGTTCCGTCCCATGCGGCAGTGGTAACTGAAATCGTACGAAAAATGATATTCACAAAATGAAATCCTGCCTTTATTCATTCATTTTGTTGTCAACCTGAATATGAGCAGAGATAAAGTTGCAAAATCTAATGCATTGCATGAAAGCGAACAGCCTCTAGATCTATCAAAACGGCACAATGATAAGAACATTATTAAGCAATCGCTCAAAAGTTTAATTCAGACACGTCGACTTGCAGAAGGCAAGGGGCTGTTGAACGTTACATTCACCAACCAAGAGGCCGCAGCTCATGAGGTACAGTTTCGGAACGGAACTGATATTGTCGGCCGGAGTTTGAATAACTGGAAAACAAAGCTACTGAAATAGCACATTTTCTGGTTTTTCCGCGATGTTATAATGTGATGTAAAAGTCCAATAATAAATCGGCTAATTCCATATGAGGCAAACATATTTGTTATCTCAGTTGATTTTATTAGGTCCATCAGACAAATATGGCCGTGTTTACACCCCTAAATTTGATACAGACAAGCCTGTGCAACTGTAAAAAGTTAAATGCATTGTGTATTTTAGAAAAATTAAAATTTGTTTTGTTTTAAAAAGTTACAGACAAGTTGTTTTCAATTTACGAACATTCTTGGTGTTTTTGTAAATTGTGCTGTGATCGTTTATTGTGTAGTATTTAATCACCATTTATGTTTAAGATTTTCCCTAAAAAATAGATACAAATTTTTAATTACTGAATATTTGTGTTCTATTCACGGTATTGTTATTATATAGGAGAGAAGTGTCTTAATGACGACAGGTGGCTCCATCTTGGGCTGTAGGTAACTTATTAAAGTTACCCACAGCTGTATAAGCATAGTGAGTTTGGTAGGAACTACTTTTGATAGATCTATGATATGCTGTATGAAGTTGCAGTATTATCAGTACATATCATAATAATCAGGTTGATGACTATTTTTAGGTCTTGCCCCCAAGGTCCAGTGACTGAATTAATAAGCAATTTTCAATGTTAAGTTTTCTGCTTTAGTTAGTTTGATAGGAACTACTTACAATTGACAATTATATTTTCTATAAAGTCACATTACTGTCCGTACATCTCAGTTTGTTGATCATTTCTAGGCCCTGTCCACAAGTTTGTGGTCCAGCGACTTTGAATTAATTAGTAATGTTAATGTCCATCGGATTGTCTTTTTCTGAATTTTATACAGGCGAGACATAACTCTTTGTCAACAGTTTATTTATAGCCTATATTAAGCTTATACAGCCAGAAGAGCTATATTAGCTCAAATTGCAGATATACATAACCTGTTTAAAGATGCTTAAACAAAAATGTCTAGACTTTCTCTGTTGAACCAAAAATGTCCATTTAGTGTGTAAGGATAGGCATGAAAATTTATGGTAGGTATGGAGACGGGAAACAGAAGTATATCTATACATTGCATCACTCATACCTACCAACCTTTTAGAACTACAGAGTGGGGGATGTCCCTCTCTCCAGCTCCACTAAGGGGGAGATTATAGGTTATTACTTTTTTTCATTCAAAATTTTGTATTAACATTCATGATAAGTTAATATAACAGCACAAACATAGATTTTGATAGACATATTTAAACTTGTATGCAAAAGTTGTCAGCCATTACTAAAAATCACCCAAGTTCCAACAAAATATTACATCACAATTTAAAAAGATGGAAGTCATAATTAAAAAGTGATTATTGCATGCCGTCAGAAGGTTATTCGAAGACGTATATAAGGTCATTCAAAGCCAGATTCAGCTAAATTAATAGACAAAAGTTTGAGTACGTCTGTTATAAATCTACCTATACATGAATTTAATTATAGAAAAACAACTTGAAGTTTGATGTCTTTTTACTTTGCAAATAAGTATGAAAAATTAAAACAGCTGAGAATACAAATTGCGAAAAGGTTAGAGGAAAGCCATGTCATGGTTTGGAATTTGTTTAAAAACTTATGTCATAATGTCGTAGAAAAAACACTTTATAAGCATTTTCATGAAAATTTACAGATTTTGATAGATTCATGAATGTCTTTGAATATAGAGTGAATGTAAGAACGATCAAATGCATACCTGTCAACTGACCCTGAGTTTGCGGGTCACACCTGGGAATTTAAAAAAAAAAGAGAGCTCACTTTAGATTTTGCTATAGCTGCCTGGGTGATCAAGTAACCCGTAATTTGGGCATTTAATCTGTTTTCGCCCTTATATATTCTTGTGCCTTGAGACTTTTTAAGTTTGAAATGCTGGATTTCATAAGTGATTTTCCTTTGAAATATCAGCAAATTCGTATTTCTTTCTGGATCAGTAAAACTAGCTGTGTTAACTGTCAAATTAAGTGACCCATTAAGTGCATGGTTTCACTTGACAGCTTTGGTGTCAAACACACTGTTAATTAACACCAATAACCTTAGCCTAAGATCAAAAATAATTTGTGTATTTCAAAGATGTTTGACAAAAAATTCGAGTTACTACTCCTTTTTTGCCACTTTTCACAGTATACTCCTTAAATTCGTGTTTCTTAGTAAAAAGATTAAATCTAAGGCAAATTGAATGCCAAGATATATAAGAAGAATACTTAAAGGGGGATTAGCTGTCAAATTCATGTTCACCAATTTGACTCAAATTTTCATATTTGATTTTATAACATACTAAAACGTATGTATCCAAATTACAAAAAGTCTAAAATAAACTATTAACAATGCATGATATGTATCAACATTTCGTGTGTATTTTTGTTTAGACCCCATCTAATTTACCATCGAGATCACCTCCGAAGAATGCAGACGGTCATATAACCTGATATAAACATAAATAGTAACCACGTGCAATTGTATTTTTCTTAGTCTGTTTGATATCATATTGTAGGTTAGAAAGTATGCTTATCATCATTTTAACATTTTTTTGTGGATGAATCAGTCAACCAAATGGTTCATCCTTGTTTCAATTTCAATGTTGACAGTCTTTTCCTTTTCAAAGTTGAATACAGGATCATACATGCGTAACCCATGTCCAGTGAAGGGGTTAAATTGAAGGTCACATGAATACAGATTCAATGAGGTCGAATTATTCACTTGCAAGTTAATAATTCATCAGCGATATTTCATAGATTATTTTGACAAAATTGAACCAAATTGGCTCCTAAAAGTGAATTATTATTTTATTATTTCACTATTCACTTTCATTAATGATTGAAAAAAAAAAAATATCATACTTATTTTTTTATATCTCATAGCTAATGCCCCTTTGAATGATTTTTACTTTCTTCGGACAACTAAAAAATTTATATTTTGAAAATTATTTTTTTCATCTCTACTTCCTTTAAATACATTGTAAATTATATCATCTCATATGAACCAAAATTAATGAAAGTTGAAGTAAAGCTGTAAGGGTTGCAAAGCACATGTTTTTGAAACTGTTCGATATAGATTATAAAAAATGTCCCCTAAATACTTTAATTTGTATAGTAATTTGTAATAGTTTGTACCCGTTATGATCTGAGATTTTCTTCTTCAGTGCAGGTCACATGACCTGCATTTTCATCTTCAGAGGTTGACAGGTATGCAAAATGATTATTACAGTGTTTTTCTATTTAAATATATCGATATATACCCAACATTTCCTTTTATCCGTATTAACTTAAGTTACCTCTTATCATGTATGATTTCAGCTTACAAAAGAGGAGCAACAAAGACAGTGTGAGAGAAAGGAACAAAATAGAAGAGCTGCTCATAAATGTAGACAAAAGAAAAAACATAAGCTAGAATATTTGACAGTGGTAAGTTTATAAAAATAAGGAGATGTGGTATGATTGCCAGTGAGACAACTATCCACCAAAGTTCAAATAAAGCGGATGAAAGCAATTATGGGCAATTGTACGGCCTTCAACAATAAGAAAAACCCATACTGTATAGTCTGCTATAAAAGGCCCCGACATCAATTCAGAAAACTAACGGCCTAATTTCTAACAAAACAATTTTTGAAAAACAAATATGACAGAAATTTCACCTAATATGTGAAAATGTCTCGAATTCGAAACCGGCCATCATACATAGCCTAGTTTATGTTATGGGGGAATAGAAAAAAATGTAACTATAACTGCTTACCTGAAATCGTTATTTCCCAAATTGATCCAATTAAACTGCTTTACAAGTCATTACATGTATCAGTCAGTACAAGCAAAGAAGTATTTTATGATGTCTTAATATGTAAATCTAGAGCTCATGGATTTGATATAAACAAAAGTGTATTTCAAATTCATGAATGACTCTCACATTTTAAGCATTTTCAAGAAAAGGCACATATTTCATTTGGTTTTTAAATGGTTTTAGGACAGGCAAATATAGAATTCATGTGAGAACAACTTAATGATTCCTCACAGTGTTTGTCTATATGAACAACACCTGTCATATGAATATTTACTTGGTTCTTGCATACACTGGATATTACCTACTCAACAAAAATGTCAAAACTATGCACTTCATAACATTTGAAAGACTTACTTATAAAAAAGAAGATGTGGTATGATTGCCAATGAGACAACTCTCCACAAGTGACCAAATGACACAGAAATTAACAACTTTAGGTCACTGTACGGCCTTCAACAATGAGCAAAGCCCATACCGCACAGTCAGCTATAAAAGGCCTCGAAATGACAATGTAAAACAATTCAAACGAGAAAACTAACAACCTAATTTATGTACAAAAAATGAACGAAAAACAAATATGTAACACATAAACAAACGACAACCACTGAATTACAGGCTCCTGACTTGGGACAGGCACATACATACAGAATGTGGCGGGGTTAAACATGTTAGCGGGATCCCAACCCTCCCCCTAACCTGGGACAGTGGTGTAACGAACTATAAAAATCAGTTGAAAGAGGCTTAACTCATCAGATGGATAAAAATACAAATACTACAAATACAAGTGGACGTGGCCGGGTACTTGTACATCCAAACAACAAAAAGACACTAAGTACATTTCTGAGAGTACTCACAGTTACTGACAGCTAGTTCAAAGCCACTAACAACTAATAAAAAAAATCATGCATCTAAGACTAAATTATCAATCCGTACACATCCAACATCCAATGGATTTAGTGTAAAGACGTCATAAACAGTCAGAGAAAAACATGACCTTATGCAATGCCAAGATACAGGTATCGACAGATTGTAGATCCATGAATGTGTATATATATATAACAATAATATTTAGTTTGCTTTTAATTTACAGATAACAAAATCAATAGTAGTACCAATAAAAACAATATTTAATGATCTAATTACAGTGTTGAATTGGTAACCTTTTAGAATAAGTTTATTTAAAGGATCGATAAGTTTACCAGGATCGTTTCTAAATTTCCGGGCACGGTAAACAATATTGCCGTAAAAATGAGGAAACTTAAAAGAGGGTGGTAAAGGGGGGGGTCTCAACACGGAAACACGTGAAATAAAAATCTCAAAAACATTGCACGGAAAATAAAAATCGGGAAAAACGAAGCACGAGAAATAAAATCGTAAATATTAAGAAAAAAGGTACTAGAAGTTATTACTCAGCCGTTCTTAGAGATCATGCAGTCATTATTAATGGACATGAAGACCCTGCGGTCACCTTTTAGCGACTGCTAGTTGAATTTGATTTGAAAACATATTATTCATAGTAATTTGATGGACTTTATTACATACCGTACATATACAATAGAATTGCAAAAGTAGAATGGTAACAGTATACATCAAGTTCTATTAGATTACACAAGTTTTACTTTTTAGTCAAATGCGGTACAAGCACGAGAAATTAAGAGTTCCGACACGAAACACGGAAAATAAATAAGGGGAAACACGAGAAAACGAGAAATAAAACGTCAAAACACGTAAAATAAAAAGGCCGAAAACGTTGCACGAAAATAACCCTTTACCACCCTCTTAAAAATTAGTTGCTTATATCCACATTCTTTGGCGATCTTTTTATTTTACTGTTAAGACATTGCATTTTTAATACTGTTGAATTACTTTTAAAACACAAATTTCACATTACTTTGTAATACTTCAATTTATTGGCCAAATGAGGCTCTTAACAAATCATCTCTTGTTTTAGTCATCAAGATCCCAAATATGATAAGATATAATTAGTCATCAAGATCCCAAATATGATAAAATATAATCTTTGCTCTTTGTATTAAAAATGTTCTTTTATTATATATGCTTATATATTGAAGAGTTTCCTAACAGAAGGTTTTACTGTCATGACTCTTGAAATTGTGAAATTTTAGGGATCTTATTTGTCTTAACCTTTTATCAACTTTTTACAGGAAAAAGATAAGTTAAAAAAGAGGAAGAAGTGGTTAGAACAGACTTTAATTTCACTAGAAAAAGAGAAAGACACATTACTTCAAACACTAAGGGAAGATGGAAACAAAGAAATGACTGTGATAAAAAGTGAACCCAATACTGATACCAACAGTAGTAGTTCATCAATGATGGAGAAATCATGCATTTTACAAAACAATAAATCTCATATTTGCTGTTCGTGTGATAGCCAGTCTCATAATCCAAAGAATTGTAATCAAAATTCATCATGTCAGTTTAAAGCCAAAGAGAGGCTGTCATGTGACAATAAAACACCCAATCAAACTTCTTTAGAGAATGACGATAGAATTGCCTTTTTCAATTATTACATGAAAATGAAAGGCAATGATGATGATTGCTCAAATGATAAGGATTCTTTGTTGGACAGTAGTCAGTCTAATAAATATTATTCTAGTATTGATGAATATGATGATTATAGCGATTCCGACAGTAGCACTAGCGAGGGCTATTTAGTGATTTATGAAAGTGAGACTGACTCTAGTGATTTGTTTAGCAACAGTCAGTCGTCATAGCAGATTTGTGTTGCTAGATAATTAAAAAGTGCTTTAAATCAAACTATTACTCACCAGTCAAGTCGCTCAATCCAAAAAGCTAAAAACAGAATTTATTATTTCGATATTGTTATTGTGTGAAGATTAGTGAGGCCGCAAAAAGAAATCATAGCTTAAAATATCTTGAGTGTTGTCACAGCTTAAAAAGTCATGAAGAGGTATAACATGATAAGAAGTCGTGAAGATTAATCACAACCTTAGAAGGAGACATTTCATGTTCTTCAAATTAAAGGGAACTTGTTTTAAACCAGTATTTTTTTACTACAGGGCATATAAATAGAGTTTTATATATTATTTGCATAAGGAATGTGATTCCATTTTTTTTAATAAATGTTAGATTCTTTTTTATTTATGATAAAATTCAGTGGCTTGCATTTAAACTGTTAGTTGGTTATAAAATGTATGAGTATTTTATGCACTTCTCTCAAAGTATTTGATGAAAATCATGGTGTGAATATTTAAGCAGTCTGGACAAATATTCAAAAAAAGAAAATCCTTTTAGATCTTCTCTTTGATAGTGGAAATCTAAACATTTCCCTTTAATTGTAAAAAAATAAGAAAAAATTGGGACACTACATTTCACCATGTTTTCAAGTAGAAAACTCCAGCTATCATGTCTATCAGCTAAGTAATTCTTGTGCCCTGTAAACTGTACAGATTTGTGTTGAATATAAGGAAAATCGATAGAAATAAGAAGACATTACAATCATATCGAATTTTAAATGTTAATTTTTATTAGTGCCACTTTGAACTCAGAGGTGTTTGCCATAAAATCATGCAGCTTTAACAGTAATCTTTTTGCAATGCATAAAGAAATAAGGCAGCTTCATTTTGGAAAGCAACAGCCAAGTAGATTTGATAATTCAGGGGTCATTACTTTTTTTTATTTTATTTTTTTTATTCATAAACTTTGTTAAGTGTATTTATGATAACTGTTTTGCATTGTTAAAAAGATCTTCTCCTTTATGGAAGTATTTAATCAAATTCTTTTGAGCCTGTAAACATTGACATTGAGACTGAAAAAATGGAACATCATTGGTATGCTATCTTTTTACCAACATCTGACAATGACATATAGTTTCAGGCAAAATTCCAAATGAATATAAAAACATTGAAATTAAATGTAATATTTGACATGATACAATGGAGAAATTATGATATGCACATGTGATGGAGCATCCTTGCCTTACACCCTGTCAAGAGAAAACAAGTTGAAGTCTTGTATAAAGACGAAGATTTCTGATTTGCTTCTAACTGCAAATACTTTGAGATCATTATACTTGTACACAAAGAATAAATTATCAAATAAGTTTTTTTTATATTTTTTAAATGATTTTTTTGTCTTTATTGCTCAGGAATCCTGTAAATTACTAGCAAAGAAGTGTCCAGTGTACATGTGTTTAAATGAACTTAACATTTAAATGATACTGTTCATAGAATTGACGTTATATATTTTATGGATTGAGTACTTAGTATCCTGCTTTCTAATGATTAATTGTTAACTTTACTTTATTAAGATAACTGAAATCTTAAATATTATTATTACATATGTATATAGGTTAGGTGTACATGTAAAATTACAGACCAACTTGAACTTATATAATATTGGTAATCTGTTGGACCTTATTAGAGAGGTTTTTCATCCAGTTTCAAAATATAGATGAACTTTATTCAAGGTAAAGGGTGTTTCAAAAGTCACAAAATGTAGTCAAGACAGTTTTGACATCTGTATTACAACATCCTGATTATAAAATGGTCTCTTGTGGTTGATTGATTGTAGTTTGCTTTACTCTGCATCAGTGCAAAAAGGCTGTAATGCAGCAAGGTCTCCTTTGCTAAAAATACTTTGGGTAAGTAATATTGTGTTAATGATATGTGAGGTGGCCTTTTAAATATTTTTTTTTATTGTACATGAACCAAGCGCTAAAATAAATTTTGTTATACAGTGTACCTTTTAAACTGCAAAAAAAAGGTTTTGTTATTGAAGAAGAAATATATTGATTAAAATGCATGATGTTTTACTTTTATGTGATAACTGTTTTATAGGGCACTATTATTATGCTTTTTCAGGTAACAGATTGTTCAGAGGGTTGATGTCATAATTTTTTATTTTGTCTTATGACTAATCTCAAAAAGACGAATATTATTTTTCAAGCATCATCAGCATTGATGAACCCTTCTGATAAGGAAAGTGATAGTTCAGCCTTAATTTTAACCAGCTCAAGAATAAGTATTGATATGTTATATATTTTATGAGTTACACAGGCAGCTTGTTATCTATGCTTTATCATTCAAATGTTTTACAGCATTGATTCATCTAATAGTCACATGATGAAGGGGACATTTTATTTTGAGGATATGTAAATAGCCGTAACAATATAGAATCGAGGAATTCATAAATGTTGTCATCAAAATTTAATATAAACATTATTTGACCTATGTGAGTTCTGATCTAAAATGTAAATAAAGTTTTCTTAAGATAGAATGTACCTCATTTACTTAGCTATTTAAAGCACTTTTGATCAGGTTAAATTTATTAAGTAATGTTTGCCATGTCTTTTTTAGTTGGTCTCAACAAAGTTGAGGAAAAACTATTGCAGAATCCTTTGCATTCATACGTGCGTTCATTCAAGTATCTACATCTTCATCAACATTTATGTCTTGAGAACTGCTTGGATTACAACCAACATTATTTTTATTAAGGTGCATTTAAGTTTGTCTTACTATATGATTGAAGGAGAAGGTCATATGACCAATATTTTTATATAATAGTTCATAGACATTGGTAAAGTTTTACGTCTATGTGTTTCGCTTTACTTAGAAGGATCCATTATATTAGTGTAAACATCTTTTAGTGTAAATTAGCGTTCAGACAAAAGTGAGTCACTATGACATATTTTCCACTTAAGTTCTTTCTCAGTCAATATACATAGAAGGATCAACTAGTGTATTTTTGGCTGAATTTTGTCTGGATTTCCAACATTTTGGTTTGCAGACAAAATCTTTTGAGCCTGCCCATAAAGAATAGCTTTACCAAATTTGGTTGGATAATGCCCATGAGACTAGGTCAAGGTCACAGCAGCTTTTAATAGACAAATTTTGACCAAATTTTGGTTACTGTATGTTATGTTTTGAACCATATATCTAACTTTTACCAAACTGAATTTGATAATGCCCCTTAAATGAAAGGAAACCCCAATTTATAGATTTTGAAGTTGCTAGGTCAAAGGGCAAGATCACTATAGCAATTGATAGACAGAAATCAGGGCCAAAATTTGGTTTTTGTATGATATCTTTTGAACCATATGTCCAACCTTCACCTAGCTCTGCTGGAAAACCCTTGAACAAGCAAGACCCCATTTGATTTTTGGTCAGTAAATCAAAGGTTAAGGTCACAGTACTTTCTAACAAATAGACTGAACAATACCTGTTGAGCCTTAACTCAAATATTTTATCTTTCTGCAGTGGATCATGCACCTTAGGTGAAAAACACCCCTAAGCTTGTCAGGTATATAGGTCAAAGGGCAAAGATACAGCAGCAATCAATATACAGAAATTTAGGCAATTTTTTTATTGCTATTTATCATTTGACATAAATTATCAGCACTTCATATGTTTTTCATTGTATTGACACAAAAATCTGTTTTATCTACTGTAATACAAATAAAGATCGCAACTATGCTTATGCACCCATGGTGCTTCTGTAATTTTTTGCTTTTCTAACATTGAATCATTTAATCAAATTGTGCAGAAGGAGACGCACTTTGTAATCATAAATTATTCATGTTTATATAATGGCTTTGTATGCATGAATTGCAGTTACATGAATATAAAGTGTACAATAAAGAATATTATATAAATATCTTTGATTTTTTTCCCAAGTTATAAGGTATAAGTTGAAAATCTCAAGTTCTGGAGAAAAAACTCAAAGGAAGTTATTCCATGACCTTTTGAAACGTTTAAAAACTAGATTTGTCGGAACGACATGAATGCCCCCGTCACAAAAAATTGATAAATCTGCAATTTCAACAACACATGTGGACACAAACATGCATCGATAGTATCCAGCTCTCAAGACCAATACTAGTATGATGAAAAATTTCCTTGATCAATGAATTAAATTTCAAAATATCAGCAAACAGGAAGTGGATGAACTACAGATCTAACAAGATGTGTTGAAACAACATGAAAATCATCATAGTGGAACGAAACAAACCTAAACTTGATCTGTAACTCATCATAGTTAACTCACATAACAAAAATCAGCCCAATATCTGAAGGCGTTTAGCAAAAAAGTCCATATAACTCTGATTTTCAACAATTTATTAAAGTCAAAAGCCCATAATTTCGGCAAAAATTAGCAGAGTGGAAAGAAAATTAAACTTGATCTGTAACTCATCATGTTTAACTCACATACCAAAATTCAGCCCAACATCTGAAGGTGTTAAGAAAAAAATTGTGTATACCGGTAATGGTTTGTTGCGGAATGACAGATTGACGGAATGACGGACAAGGGTAACACTATATGGCCCCGACAACTTTGTTGCGGGGTCATAAAAACGAACATTGATTTCTCGTTACTTTGTTTGAATTTTAATGCTGATTAGATTTGTTTTACAGTAACTAAGCATGCCAGGTTAACAATATTTATTTTGTTGATTTATTGTTAGTAACAGTATCTCCGTCTGGCATATCTTACAATACATACATGGCATTAGTCTCATTTTTAGAGTGCATTGGTTTAGTAGTTTTCAGAATTATACATGTATCTATTTTCAGTATGTATGCTTGACAGGTCAACTCATTTTGGTATTTGTGAATTTATTATAAGGATTTAGGTATTTGTCTGTTTGAAATATGTCAAAAGCCTTGACCTCGTATTAAGGCTCAAGTGCACGTGGTCGGACTAAGTTTTTCAGGTGTTTCTAGGTAACAATACATAGCATCCACAATATTTTGGTTTTTTTTGGTCTATTATAATAAGTATGTATTTCACTGATATAGGTCATTGACCTCATTGACCCTTCAGTTGTTGGGTTCAGTTTTGGAATAAGGATTGTATTTCAGCAAATATGCAGAATAGACTAACAATATTTTGCATTTGAGTTCATTTATATAAAAAGTACATGCTTATTTGACAGTTTTCATTTGACCTCTGCCACTGTTTTAAAGTTTGCTGACCTTTAAAATACTTTGTACTCATTTATAAATTGATCAGATGAAAATCATGGCCACCTGTGGCAAGCTTTGACTGATTTGTCAATTGCCATAAATCATCTACTGGCCAATCGGTCAATTTAAGATGGATGAGAAATGCCATAGACAGTAGTAGCTTACACTGTCACTTTGAGCTTGGTATGTTAAAACTAGAGACTCAAGAAGGCTACATCATTCAAATAGCATCTTTTGGAATAACTGATTCTATCTGAAGTGCAAATTATGTAAAACTATATAAAAATAAGGAGATGTGGTATGCAAAATCCTAACTCTATAGTCTGTTATAAAAGGCATTAGACATAACAAAATGTGAAACAATCCAAACGACAAAAATAAGGTCCTAATTTGTAACTAAACAATCTATGAAAACTAAATATGACAGACTAAAACACAAAACAATCACAGAATAACAGGCTCCTGACTTGGGACAGGCAAGTAAGGAATATGGCAGAGTTAAATATTTCTGTAAGCGCTCAATCATCCCCTAACCTGGGACAGTGGTGTCAATAGATCAATACGAAGCACAAAAAACAACTAACATCATAAAACTAGACACAAAGCACAGATATATGGGTATTCACAATTACTGAAAACTAGTTCAAAGCCAATTAAAACTAATAAATAAATCAAGTTCTCCCAGACTAAAGTATCAATCACTACACATCTAACAGTTTAAGTGTAACTAGGTCATATGTCCGGCAGTGGCAGGTCACATCATTGGATATAATTTTCACTCTTTGAGATGATTCCGGTTTTGCGTTTTGAGAGGACAAAAATATTTGAAGAATCTCATCCATGAAATCTTATGTAATCACTACTGTAAAAACATAATTACTGAACATATTAGAAGGGCAATTGGGTAAAATATTTAAGCAATTGGTAATGTAAAAATCCTTTTAAATATGCACAGCAACTGTTTGCATTTGTTCTTAGGAATGTTCAACAACTGACAACAATTTGAAACTCTCTGCATGTTGTGGTAGGATGTTAAAATCAAAATTAAAATGCAAATTTGTTTTTGTATGATTAAAAACATCCCTTTAATTTCAATCCTGAATTTTGTATGTTTGCTGATCATTGAATGTAATATTTAGTACATTGTATATAGATTTCTGTTGTCTGAATAAATCTTCATCAGGCATGAACTACCTAAAATTTTAATTTGAACAAGACCAAGTGACATTCAGAAACTAGTTTCAATATCAAAAATCCTTTTATTGGTAATCAAAATTAAACAAAATCATTTTCTTAATATCTATTTATAGTCATTCCAGCCAGACTGATAGGAAAGTATGGTTATCTGGCACATTTACGAAGGTGATCATCAAAAAGACTTATTTTACTCAAGTTTGGGTGCTCATTGATAAAAATAGTCAAGCCAGCATCATGACCATCTGATCTACAATATTGTAACTAGATGTTTCTGATTTTTTTTCTGTAAATCATTTTTATTTCCAGTTGAGGGTTTTTGATAACTTGATGTACATCCACAAAATCTTTCAAAAATAATAATTAACAGACTATGGGTCATAAAACATATATTAGGTCCAGTTTTGGGAATGTTTTCTTTTGTCATTCATGCATAATGCCACTTAAAAGCAAATAAACATCTAGCATGCTTGCTGAGAAAAATACAATTAAAGCGAGTGGGTTGAGACATCTATATCCTTATTACACATCTTTTTTTCCACTTTATTTTGACTTACAAACAACTTCAATGGTTACAAAATTTATTGTTACAAAATTAACAAAAGAAAACTTTCATAACACAATAAATGTAAATATATAAATTATATAAAATAAATGCTGTATAAATAGTACAAAATAACAAAATCATACCACAGACACACACAAATCAGATCAGGTGGTTTGGTTTCTATTGCCTTCATAACACATTGCACAATCACCAAACAGAAACAAATCGAAAAATCCTGCAACTTTAACTACTGAGCACGATTTAAAAAAAAAGTAAGAATGCCAAATTTTTTAAACACTTCTTGTCATAATTTTAATTACTTTCTTTGTGGTATCTGTTACAATATAATATCCCATTAAATTACAAGTTTAAAACGTTACATTTTTTTTATAATGTGGTTATATTCAAGCTGAATTGGAACTGATCCAATGACGCTGTTGCTGGATTTTCCAAATTGCTTCTATTTATTCCTAAAAATAATATATACAGATATCCATGTAAAACATGGAAAGACATCTAAGAGTGACTCACAGCATTTGAAAAATGTCCAGACACATCAGTAAATGACTAAAATGAGTGTTTCTTAAATATATCAAAACAAAACCAATCAGAAAGAAAGCTGTTCCATTCAATAATTGTATTTTGACTTTAAAGTGCACACAGTACATACAGTGTTTCTTCTTTACATCTAAAGATTAGCTGAAAATACCAATATTAGTGCAAAACATTGACAGTGAAACTGTTTAATTATGCAATAAACTGAATGTTCACTACAGTTCATATTTACACACGGTAAATTGTAATCAGAAAAGTGGGAAAATATTTTTTATAATATAAAATAAATAAATTGTGATTCATTATCATAAAAGAAAGATACAGCAGTTTCATTTCACAAAGAACACTTCCAATTCTATAGTACTAGTAAACTATTGTTATCCTATAATATGCATACACATTTTTAACAGATTCTTACAATAAATCAAATCATGTGACTGGCAGTTAGACAGTATTATGTAAATAGAAAAAGTTTTGTATTGTGTAAATGATGTTATTACTGTATAGTATTATCTGTAAATGGGAATATGCCAGGAAAAATCCTGTTAAGACTAAATAATATTATAGGGTACAAATCAAAATTGTTTTGTGCTGTTAGTTCTGTAAAGATACAGATGCAGCTGTTTTAAGATAGGGTATTGAGTAAAGCAAATTTGGCAGTATTTGGCATTCTTAATAGAAAGACATTGCAGGATTTTTTTTAAGTGAAACATTAGATGATATTGCTGGATCTTAAAAAAAAATACTGGCTAAAAATTAAGTATAGAAATTGCAAATATTTTTTTATAATATTGAAACATCACTGTATGTAATGATATCATCTTAAATTAAACTGATTCCAAATTTCAGGGCTTCCAAAAAATATTTGAGCCATCCAGACTTTTTTTGTCTTATCCCAATTTCAATCCCTTAAGACTTAGTAACATGAGGCAAGCATTTTAATCCTTTGGGCATCATATAAACAATGATTGACACAAAAACACTTTTAAACTTGACTTTTGATATAAACTTGATGTTCTGGCGTAAACTGTTCAATTGACTGTGCATCATTCGAAGTGTGCAACATCAGCGTACTAATATTTCCAATCAAAAAACAAAACATATATAAGGGAAGAAAAATTGTGTTTTAAATAGCAAAATGTTTTTTGCTATCAAAGTGAATGAACTTTTATGACCTGATAAAAATCAAAGGTACAGAACAATTTTTTACTCTAGTTGGTTTTGAGAAAAACAGGAATTTTCATCCCAAAAAATATTCAGAGATCTTGGATCATACATTTTTTCGTACATATTGCTAAAACTTATATCTACACTATAAATGAAAATATTCACTGGTCTTCAAGTTATGGCAAGATATAATATGAACACATTGACAAAATTTGAAAAAAATGTTAATTTAAAGCTGAAAATTTTGAACAAACAGGGAAATTTTTTTACACCTAAATTCAGATGTCGGATGTAAATTATATATATTGCACCTTTACAGAGAACAAGCTATTGCATCAAATGAATAAGCTGAACATCTGAATTTGATATATCTACTCATCTTTTGATCTGAAACTTGTGACTTATGAATATCGGATTTCAATGTTTTGAAATTGAGGTAATTTTACTGGAATACAATCTAATTTTTTAAATATGTAAAATGTTATATATGAAGCAGTATTTGAAATGACATTGATAAGTTATAATTGGCACATGATTTATGAATATAATATCAGCAGTTAAAAATTGCTATATTGTGTAATTCTCAGATAAGTATATTACTGAAATAAGGTACAGCCTTGTTTGACCTATAAAGTATATAATATTGAAATTATAATAAAATATCCATCTTTAAATAGCAGCAGCACCATACAACAAAATATGTCAAAACATTTCTACAGCTTTTTCTTTTCTTTCAATGTTTTCTCTTTTTACTGTTTCAAAAGATTACATTAAAAAAATTATCTTTATATAAGATATGACATCATTTTTGTGCAAGCAAACCTCTGGTGTATTATGGTATTGATATCTAAAGTCAAGTCAACACAGTTGTTATTTCAAGCAAGATGTTAAAATTTTCTTACACATCAAAAACTTTTGGTCAACAAAATCATATTACTATGCTGACAAAAGGTATTCTAGTTATCAATAAAAATTTTTTTTTTAAATACTTCAAGGTCTACATACTGTAGTCATCATGTAGTCAAATATTCATAGTTTTTGTACTACTAACTCAAATTAAAGTTACTAAATTTAATTTGGACAAATACTATGTTCCAGAGCAAGAAAAAATATAAATTTACAACCGTTCACCTAGCTTTAGAGCCATAACTCTTTAAAATCACTGGTACGTTTGTGTAAAGCATTTTCACAAATACATATTAAGCTTCTAAGTAACACAAATTACTAATTCTGTTTCATATGAATGCTTTAAAAAGCATCTATGAAACAACATGAAACTAATAATTACAAACATATTAATGATTTAAAGAGTTATCTCCAATAACATTCTACCACCTTCAGTCCTAAAAAAACTTTACTAGATGAATAGCATAACAAAAGTTTATTTTTAATTTTTGTTGAAATCCTAACATCAGCTTTGCACAGCACATCCAAAGCGTTTTAAATAATCACATGTACAATTATGGTAGGGATATACACATATCACTGTTCTGACCTAGCTCAAAGCAAGTCCATAAGTATATTTAGATAAAAGTTCTGAAAATTCATCAATACATTTAAAATGATGACAGACTAAAACCACAATATAACCTCTATATTTGTATCCCCCCTGAATAAAATAAACATAAATTTGTATTTACATTGTATGCATAATACAACCTATACTGATACAAACTAATTGTAAATTATAGTAAATAAAGTATGTATAATACTGATTACAAGTACAGTCATGGTTTAGGTATAAGAGAATACAGAAGTACTTAATAAATAAATCTATGAATTTCAGGTACAAGAAAATACAAAAGTACTTAATAGAATTTCTGATAAATAATTCTATGAATATGTATATTGATTACAAGACAAATTGATGGTGTATATGAAATAAACAATACATTGAGTAATCTGTAGAATAAATCTTTTTATTAATCTTAAGTAGTTGATATATAATGCATTACCTTCAATTTTGTACTTAAACATTTAAAATTATTCTCTGGAATTTTAGTTTGGTCCTTACTGAGGTAATTACTTAACAAGGTTAAACCTTGAGTAAAATAAAAATCTTACAGAGGTAGCATATCTTGGAAATTTGCAAATACCTGAAAACCAAACCAATTCTTAGAAATAAAAATGAAATATATATGAACAGGTATTGAAACTGTTGATTATATGGAAACTTAGGGGACCCTTACCTATTTTGAAGAAATGTTTTCTTGATTCACTATATAACTGGCCATCTCACTAAGTGTGACAGCTGTTAGACTGAAACAGCATTTGAATCAAGCAAAGTAAGTTTACTCTCAATTTACAATGGTTGATGTCTAGGTGGTGTATCATAAAATATTATCCAATAAATGTATAAATATCCCTCTCTAGCATAGCATTACACCAAAACTCATACAAATGTCAACAAAGTTTCTTACAACTGGTCAGTTTAATTCAAATTTTACCTTCAGTTATGCCAACATTTGCTAGGTATTGAAATCAATATTGTTCAGGTGACTTTCAACTTTAATCAACGGGATTTCCAACTGATCCATTTTGGTTTAAACATCTCTCAATAAAATTAAGATATAAATGAGAAAAAGAGTTAATGCTTGTATGATTTTGGTTGTAACCGCAAAGACTGCTCTACTTTTTCTTGCATCTGGTCATTTATAGTGTTACATATTTCTAGTTTAGAAAATTCTGGACTGAAGAAATTGAAACTGACATTACGAATTCATCAGCTAAAAGCTTCTTACAAACTTCCTGCAAATATTAAAATAGAATAGACCACTTGCAAGAAAATATGTATCATTTTGAAATGGTTTTCAATGTAAACACTGAATTTGAAAAGGTAGAAAGGTCTTCTTTATTAATACAAAGTTTATCAAGTAAGTAGATGAAATTTTAGTGGACTAATTTATGAAATTCTACATGATCCCACCCACTTTGAGGAAAAAGTCTAATATCAACCTTTTTACACCTGTGAATAAATGAGCAATTAAATAAACCAGATGAAAAAACTAAATATAAATATAAAACTAATAACACAGTCATTACTAGAACAACATATCAGGAACAACAACTATAATAATACATTAAGTGAACTGTGTAAAATAAATTATTAAGTAATTCTGCCTTTCATTCCACTTGTTGCACATTTGTATACTTATTTCTTCATGCTTGCTTTCATATTTCATTATAAAAACTTGTGTACAGTTTGAATGCCATTGTGTTGTTATCATTATTATGATTCTGTTTTGCCTCAAAAAGGTATTGCTCAATGGCCAGATACCCTTTCATTTTATTGATCGAAATATTTAAGTTCAAACTGTTTCATGAGATTTTAAAAGTATTCTAAATTCTAAAAGAAGTTAATATTCTCTATCAAAATGTGTCAATGCCATGTAAAAGAACCTCTTACAAAATTCTCTAAATATCAGTAACTGAGATTCTTATAAGGGAATGACATTCAATATTTATTTAGGACTTATATGCATATTTTATTAAGCTGTTTTCCAATAATGACCATAGCATAAATACCATGTAATAGACAATGGCAAAATACATTTTTAAATTCAAAACAAGGAAAAAACTCTAATGTATAATCAAGATTTACAGTAACAGTAAAAGTAATTTAGTGGTATTCTAAAGTATATCAGGTTTATAAATTTGTATTAATTGATTAAAGAAATTAATATACATTATATGTCCATAAAGAATTAAGTATTTGAAAAAAAATATCAGCATATTTTCAAAATTTCTTTTAATCTAAAATTAAATACTTCTACTCTTCAAAATTAATTAATATCATCTTGTAATTATATCTGCAAGCAGAACATAATTCTCAGATCGTTCTCTTCAATAAATTTCTATTTTCTTTCAATAAATGCCATTTCAAAGTCTAGATAATTTTGATTTGAAGCAAGAATATCCAAGCCTGAGCTTGCATTTTCCAACAACTGAACATATGAGATTCCATTTCATTCATTCCACTCATCAGAAAGGACTATAACTTGAATTTAGTATGTTATTTCGAATAGAAATTAAAGAAATTTTACAGTTCTTCTACATGAATATTAATAAACACTAGTTTGTCATGAAAAAAACTGCAATTCTTCTGTTGTATTCCACATATTGCATGTGCATAATTTAAGAAGTCATTTTGTTTCAATAACTAACGAGAGCACTAAGTACACAACCAATACAAGTTACGACCATATGACATACATTGCCACATTGCTTGTAAAGTGACATTTACTGTTCAGTAAGTATGGCCCTGGCAGTTTTCATTGCACCAGCTCTTTCTCTTGAGTCTTCCCTTTGTGGAGTAACAGCTCTTTTTCTGTTTCTTCTCATCTTTGACAAATCTTCTCCAAATACATCTCCTGTCCTTAATGCTGATATAAGCTCGTCAAATTCTCCTGAAGTAAAATAAACAATGTGTAAAATATGCATGGTCTAACCACTATGCAAGGTTACAATTCAATATAACAGACAACTTTTATTCATCAATGAATTTTAATAAATTTGCTAGTAAAAACAAATAATTAGTCTAAGATTAAAAGGTAACAAATTTAATAAAGAGTAAAAGAGCAATAAATAAATGTGGGTGGGTTTAAAAGTTTATGATGTTATGTTCAGAAAAATAATGCTTGAAAACAGTCTTATTAAACTGTCTCACAAAAATAAAAGTCCTATGAAATAAGTTGATATAAATGTATACCTTTTCACATATAACATTTCTTGAAAAAGATTTTAATTGCTGTAAAGATTAACTAAATTTGATTTTCTATTGTTTTTTCTGACAATTTAGATCAAAATTAACCATTACGAAGCTGAATCCATATCAACAAAATTTCTACCTGGAACTCTTATCAGCTTATTGCCAACAAAAAATGTGCAATATAAACTTTTAGTAATTATTTTCTTGCAAGATTACCTTTGGCAGACCCAGCTTTGCCATTTGCATTCTCGCCTTTTTTCAATCTTAATTTTTCTCTTTCTCTTTTCATCTAAAACAAAAATGATATTTTTACATTGTATTCATGATAATAAAAAACCCAAAAACAAACTGCATATATCAGGGTTCCCATTTTTCTACAAAAACAAAATTCTACATTTTTTCCATGACTTCTCCAAGACATTCATCTGTTTTAAAGAATGGTATCAGAAGACATAGATGAAGAAACCATTAGTTACTCTTGACTGTACGACACTAAAGTTGTGAACTATTAAATATAAATAGATCGCCATTCCTACAAGCACTCCCAAGCAGTAACTAAGTGCCCTAATCAGAGGCAAAATATCATGCCTCTAACAAACTACATACAGACATTCAATTTGTTGTACACCAGCATATAATCATGATAGTAGTTTATTAGAAAATTTTATGAAACCAAGCAAATTGTATATGAATATCAATAGTATTATCTTATCTTATTCTCAAAACCACAATTCTGTTAAAATAGAAATCTTCAAATGAACATCAAATCTACATTTTTAACTTGTGTAGTTTGTTCCAATTATGCAATATCTATACACAAAGATTGTTCTTACTTTTATTGTATATTTTTCAAAAAGCTGAAAAACCTTGTCTTTTAGTGAATTTTACCTGTTCTTCTAACTTTGCCCGTCTTTCTTCTTCTTCTTTCAACTGTCTTATTCTCTCATTTTCTTGTTTTGCATCATTTATTGAATTAATGAAAGTATCCATGATTCCAAAAAAATCATCAGGCTTAGAATCATCTGAGTTATCTCCAAATGTTTTTACTGCTTCTTTAAACTGTAATAAAACAACTCATACGTTTATCTTCGCTTTCGTTCAGATTATTTTACGAAATCTCTTTACATTTTATACCTTTTAAAACATTTCAATTGGATTTTTTCTTTTTAAATTCATATTTAACAAGAATGTGTCCACAGTACACGGATGCCCCACTCACACTATCATTTTCTATGTTCAGTGGACCGTGAAATTGGGGTCAAAACTCTAATTTGGCATTAAAATAAGAAAGATCATTTCACAGGGAACATGTGTACTAAGTTTCAAGTTGATTGGACTTTAACTTCATCAAAAACTACCTTGACCAAAAACTTTAACCGACAAACGGACGGACGGACGGACAGACGGACGAACCAACTGAAGCATAGACCAAAAAACATAATGCCCCTAAGTGGGGCATAAAAATTAATGTTAATATTAAATCTGCAAAAAACTTAGAAGATGATCTACATAAGAACATCAAACACACATTTTCACACAGAAATAAAATGGACTGTGATATAATAAACAAGATGTATTGTGAGCTATTTCTCACAGTAAACAGGAAGTAGATATGCAATGGCTGTCAAAATGCATTATCCCGTGAAGATTGATACTAAATAACAGAAAGCTTTGATTTGTACTTCCCAAGAAAAATGCAACAAAAAATGGGACAGACAGACAGAAATAGGTAAACCAGTACTCGCCTCCTTCGGAACGGTGTATAAATAATTAGATATATCCATAATTTTGTAATATTACCTTATTTGTCATTTCTGTATAAGCTTCCTCTATTTCTGAGAAATTATAAGATGCCACAGCTACAAAATCAGTCATCACACTGACAAATCTCACTTTACCATGCATGGACTGTTTCTCAAACAACACTATTTCCTAAAAAGATAAATATATTTTTTTCTTATATGCACATACATATATATGTGGCTTAAAGAACTATTGACAATAAGCTGCATGTATCATAGCTAAGAATGCCTGGCTTGTAATTCAAAACATCAATAAACAGAAAGAAGGTGTTTGACATATCTGAAATGCCCTTACAAAGTACAAGCCATCACTGTCTAGCTGCAGACCAGAGAGGAAGTCATTCTGTTAAGTAGTACAGGAAAATATGTGAAAATAATGGTAAGTTCATTCAAAATATCGAAAAATCCAAAGTAGTCAAACAGAAAGCAGGTGTCTGACAGTTTTGAAAAGTGCTCACATGTTACAACTCATTGCTGTTATGCAGCTAACAGTAATATGCAGTCATTCCGTTATGTAGTACCTGAGAAAAGTGAGACGAAGATATTTTTTAGACAAATGGACAGATGGACAAGGTGGTTGCTTGAGTGGGGGTATAATTCTAATATTTTTATGTTCATCAAAAGTGCAATTAATTTTTTTTTCTGCACCGATTCCACCCTTCCAACCTGCATACTGGTTGGGTAATTAAGTATCAGTCCATGTAACAATCATTCTATTTTAAGGTGGAGTGGTGCTTAACTAAATGATGATTGTACCTTTCAGGATAACATTACATCTTTTGTGGTTTAATTTATGTTTCATACCATCTTTCCTCATGTGTGTACATTCTACATTAATTTTCCAACAATTCATTTTCTTTCTTGCAAATGTTATGCAATAGCATAATCCTAAATATACGAAAAAACTCATTGCTTGACATTTTGATATCTGATTTATTCACTACTGCCACAGATGAAGTATTCTGTCTTGGCATTAGCTAATATATATATATATATCACCACATTTATTTTGCTAGCTTGTATTTTTGCTATAAAGCATTCAAGTTAATCATTGTTTACCGAAATTAATGAATACCTTTTCTATCTCTGAAAGACCTGACCTCAAAACAACTATTTCTTTGTCTAGCTCTCCCATGCTGCAAAAATAAGATGTTAAATACAAAACAAACATTCATGGTCCCTTTGTCTAATGTTGATGTTTTTTCTTTTCCTTTTTAACTATGTTGGTTTGCTGTCTCATTGACATACACCCCACTTCATCTTATATTCATGTTCTGTTTTTCAGTAGTACTTTTTGAAGATTAGCAACATATATCTGTGTCTGGTCTAAATTCTGAAGATTTTTTATCAATCAAACATGTTTAAGTTGGGAAACCATAGTCTTTTCATTATTTGAATATTGGACTAGCCTTCATTGACTGCAAGTACTGTTTGATAAGTCTTTGTGACTTTTTTCATTTCATTAGTTGTTTTTGTGATTAGTACCAATCTGACGTTTCAAGACCATAACAACTGATTTTTACTGTTTGTTCTAATGTTGTGCTGTTACACCACTGTCCAAGGTTAATGAGAGATCTGAGCTCTTTTTGACCTAGACCCTAACATTATCACAAGCTTAGTTTAACATAGCAGAACTTTATATATAGTCAGACTTACTTGACTTTTGAAGCCAACTTTACATCTGGCAACTCACTTTCTAGTGGCATGATCTTTGGAAACTGAAAACAAAACACATTAAAAACATTACTGCTGAAAATAATATTCAAAGAAGAAGAAATTTGCTTTATATGTGGAAATGCACCGCGACAGTTTGATTTCTACTTGATTTCATGTTGAAAATGGACAACCGCCTCCGTCCACTGTATGAATGAATAAATTATAAAGAAAATTGATGAATAAGTTATAGAAGTCCTTGGCTTATTGGAATTTTCCTATATTGAGGCTTTATTAACACAAAATATTTTAATAACTCATAGCTTGAGCTCACATTTTTTTAGCTAGTAATATGTATTTTTTGCTTTGTTTACAGGCAAAATAAAAAAAAAAATTCCAACAAATAAATATGTTTTAATTATGCCTTAACATTGATCAATAATTTCTCACCCTTTTCTCTAGTATATCCACAAGATAATGGAGCAGTGTAACATTTCTATCCATACTCGATTTAGTGTCTAACATGTTGTTTAGACTGTTTAGTTTAAAACCTTTGGCATTCCCTCTCTGTCCTCTGTTCATAAAGTTACCTAAGGCTAAGATTATCTCTAGAAGTTGTCGTAACTTTGTACTTTTCATCATTGTGGTTGATGAATCTATCACAGCTGAAAATGAAGTTTATTGTAAAAGATGAAAAAGCATAACATACATTGTCTAGATTTATTGCTATATTTTTTAAAAATTTTGCTTTGATCTTTTTTGTGATTATTTTTACATCACTGTACTCGAGGGATATGGGTTTTCTCAGTCCAGGAGAAAGAGGTGTTTGACGTCATGAGCCTACATCATTGAGGTTCCATAGGAAAACAGCAATAAACAGATTATCAATGGCCTTTCTAACTCAAAGATGATTCTCAGCTACATTTCATCTCAGTGCTGTTGCCCTTCAAAGAGATGGTAGTTCAAATCCATCCTCTTGTTTGAAAAACCATCAATAATATATAAATATCAAGATTCATGTACAATGAATAAAAACATTTGGTCTGAAAGAATAAAAGTTTTTCTAGTCTGTAAGACAATCTGCCTTATCAATAGATATTTAGAAGAAGCTTTGTGTTAATTTTAATCATAAATTGAGTGAAATATCAGACAATCAGAAATTTGAGATCTCTCTAATGTTCATTGTGTTCTAGATATTGTTAATACTAACTCATTATTGCAACAAATAAACTTCCATATTTCCCTCTGAAGCAAAAAGTAGGGAATCCCATTAATCAAATTAACAAATTTGTTCAGGTATACAATTTATAAATGTTTTTCCATCAGTTCTAACTAAATATGATAGAAAATATTAGTTATCTTAACTTACATTCCATCAGGCATTCCTACCCTCATGAAGAAAATTTCTCTTTCCCTATTATGAACTATGGAAACTTACCATTTATTTTTGGTCTAATATCACCTAATCGTTCTGGAAACTTTTTCTTGAAATAAAGTGCTTTTAAAATGGCTTCATAATGGAAAACTCTGGAAAAATAAATGTGTGACTTCATATATTAAAGATTACAAGAAAACCGAAAAACTTTAAAAATTCAACTCTAGTTGAAATATAGGAAATGAATAAGATAGTATCAGATCAAAATGATAAACATTTCACCAGATCAATTTTAGTTCAAGCTTTTCAAGAAAACTGTAAAAAGAAACGCAGCAATGGATAGGATACATAAACTCACCATATATACCAGGGTTAAAATTTTGTACGCCAGACATGTGTTTTGTCTACAAAAGACCTATCAGTGACACTCATATAAAAAAAATGGGCAATGTGTCCATGCATGGACACAGATGATGCCCCCGCTTGCATATAATATAAAGTTATAAAGAGACATAACTGAAGAAGGGTAAAAGTGACACTACCCAAATTTGTACTTGGTCTGAGTTTTGTGGTAATAAGCATTGTGACACAATAACTTTCATAACATTTGGTAGAGGCAAACTAAAGTGAGAGAACGGAAACGAAAAATTATGCAATTTTTATGTTTATAAAGGGCATAACTCAAGAACGGTAAAAGTGACGACACCCAATTTCAAACTTGATCTGTATTATGTGGTAATAAGCATTGTGTATAAGTTTCATAACATTTGTTTGAGGCAAACTAAAGTTAGAGAACGGAAACGAAAAATTATGCAATTTTTATGTTTATAAAGGAGCATAACTCAAGAACGGTAAAAGTGACGCCACTTAATTGCAAACTAGATCTGTATTATGTGGTAATAAGCATTGTATATAAGTTTCATAACATTTGGTTGAGGCAAACTAAAAGTTAGAGAATGGAAACGAAAAATTCAGCAATTATTCCATTTGTAAAGGGGCATAACTCTAGAACGGTTATATTGATGCCACCAAAATTCAAACTTGATCTGTGTTTTGTGATAATAAGCATTGTGTATAAGTTTCATAACATTTGGTTGAGGCAAACTAAAGTTAAAGAACAGAAACCAACTTTGGGACGGACGGACGGATGTACAGACGGACAAGGGTAAAACTTAATGCCCCCTCCCCTACGGCGAGGGCATAAAAAGTTAAAAAGGCCAAATAAAGTACGAAGTTGAAGAGCATCCAGGACCAAAATTTCCAAAACGTTTCACCAAAAACAGCTAAGATAATCTATTCCTGTATTCTAGACCTATATACATACAACATCTTCTTGTTTTACTCAGATTAACTTGCCCAACAATATGCATTTGGATGATGATTTGTCATTTTAGTAAGTACCTTTAACAGAAAGTCAATGAAAAAGTTGACAGGTGAATGAAGAGGCTTGATTGTATAAAACAAAATGTTAAAACATGTCAGTCACAAATTGGTAATCAATGGCACACTTACTGGCTGGCTTCAAACAAGAATCTGTCTGCCCTTGCCATATTATCTACTTCCTGTGAATGCTCATTTAATGTTTGGATTTCTTCTGTAGTTGGCACAAATTTTAACAGCTGTAAAAGAAAACAATTTAAAGTGTGTGAAGAAGAAACTAGAGGCTCTAAAGAGCCTGTGTCGCTCACCTTGGTCTATGTGCATATTAAACAAAGGACACAGATGGATTCATGACAAAATTGTGTTTTGGTGATGGTGATGTGTTTGTAGATCTTACTTTACTGAACATTCTTGCTGCTTACAATTATCTCTATCTATAATGATCTTGGCCCAGTAGTTACAGTGGAAAATATTTTGTAAAAATTTACAAAAATTTATGAAAATTATAAAAAATTGACTATAAAGGGCAATAACTCCTTAAGGGGTCAATTGACAATTTTGGTCATGTTGACTTATTTGTAGATCTTACTTTGCTGTACATTATTGCTGTTTACAGTTTATCTCTATCTATAATAATATTCAAGATAATAACCAAAAGCTGCAAAATTTTCCTAAAATTACCAATTCAGGGGCATCAACCCAACAACGTGTTGCCTGATTGGTCTGAACATTTCAGGGCAGATAGATCTTGACCTAATGAACAATTTTATTCTTGTCAGATTTGCTCTAAATGCTTTGGTTTCAGAGATATGAGCCAAAAACTGCATTTTACCCTATGAACTATTTTTTAGCCATGGCGGCCATCTTGGTTCGCGGGCGGGTCATCGGACACATTTTTTAAACTAGATACCCTAATGATGATTGTGGACAAGTTTGGTTAAATTTGTCTTAGTAGTTTCAGAGGAGAAGATTTTTGTAAAAGATTACAAAAATTTACGAAAAATGGTTAAAAATTGACTATAAAGGGCAATAACTCCTTAAGGGGTCAACTGACCATTTTGGTCATGTTGACTTATTTGTAGATCTTACTTTGCTGAACATTATTGCTGTTTACAGTTTATCTCTTTCTATAATAATATTCAAGACAATAACCAAAACCGGCAAAATTTCCTTAAAATTACCAATTCAGGGGGAGCAACCCAACAACGGGTTTTCAGATTCATCTGAAAATTTCAGGGCAGATAGATCTTGACCTGATAAACAATTTTACCCCATGTCAGATTTGCTCTAAATGCTTTGGTTTCAGAGATATAAGCCAAAATCTACATTTTACCCCTATGTTCTATTTTTAGCCATGGCGGCCATCTTGGTTAGTTGGCCGGGTCACCGGACATATTTTTTAAACTAGATACCCTATTGATGATTGTGGACAAGTTTGGTCAAATTTGGCCCAGTAGTTTCAGAGGAGAAGATTTTTGTAAAAGTTTACGGACGACGGATGCAGGACGACGGACCACGGACGCCAAGTGATGAGAAAAGCTCACTTGGCCCTTTGGGCCAGGTGAGCTAAAAATGTCAACAAATGCATGCATCTTTTTGATAAATGTGTTGTTGGATTGCTGTCTCATTGATGTATTGCTCCTATTCATATACAATAGGGAAATCATTTTTACAATACAGACGTTGAATTTGGCAGTTTTTGTATTACAATGGTTCAGGATTTTCCAAGTGAAATTTTGGATGGTTACAAGAGTAATTCTGTCAGGTCAGGTTGTAAATGCTTTGTTATGAAATAAAAATATATTTTACATGGAATTAACAGTTCTTTGTGCATTAAAAATAAAATAAAGTTGTCAGTTAACAATTTGATGGATACATGGAAATAAAAGTAAAACATTCATACATTTCCCAATGAAAATTTATACTTTTTCAATAAGTCCATTAAAAAATCAATGAGGTCAGGTGCTATTTTCATCTCATACTTCAAACTTACCTTCAAGTTTTTTTCATATTTTTCAATCATTCATTTGAAAACTGATAATCTTAGTTGACAATATTTTATGCCAATATAACAATTGTGATGAGAAAAAACTTTTCATAAATGACAAGGAAGTAGAGCTAGAACTTGCCAAGAAATCAGAGTTATGCATGAAGCAGATAAAAAAGCAATATTTCTTATTGTTATTATTGCTTTGTGTTTTCTGTATGGATTGTTGATATCTCATATGACTTGCATACCTGTTCTAACATGTCCTTAGGTAAATCCTCTCTACTGTCCATATCCGTCACAGCCTTTATCACTTCCTCATTGGTAAGTTTCAGTTTAGATAACAATATTGTACAGTTTTGAGCACGACGTCCATCAATCAAAGCTAATTCTTTGTGTTTACTAGTCTTACTAGATTGTTCTTCGCCTTCTATTTTTTTTTGATAAGCAGAAAATGTCTTTTCAAAATCATTTAAATCTAATTTTGAATACACCTGAAAAAACAAAGACAAATCGTAACATCAAATATCAGCAGAATATAGTTAAATATTTTTTAATACTTTTTAATCTACAGCTTAAATATTAGGCCAAGATATAAAAAAGTTTTCAGGATTTCAATTTTAGAATAAATGACCCAAATAAAGTACAAATAAGGTACCTAAAACCTTTAAACATGCACTAATAATAATCTACATTTCAACTGTGATGCCTGATATCCTTATCAAAGCTATTCAACAATATTTTCTTTAATATTTGAACTATGTCCTTAAAACATATTATTTTTAATTTTCACATTAAAACATGACACACATTTGTCCCAGTTACAAAATTTATCTGTGTATAATGGAGTGTAAATTATACAAAAAGAATTCTTAACTGTTAGATTGAATTCTCACCTTTTCATGTTGCAAACTTTTCCAAACAGTCCCAGAAACAGCCATCTGAAATAAAGAATCATTTCATAACAGGAAAATAGATTGCTAGATGAACTTTATTCCAAATAAAACAAAGATATCACTGTAAATACTTACAGATAAGAAAAACATAAATATGATATTGACAACATATTTTTCCTTTTCAAAACGTTTCATTGATAGTTTCTTTAGAAGTTTTGTGTATGGCAAAGCCTTTCATGTTTAAAAACTTTTTTAGTATGGGATATCAAATGTTTGAGTGTAAAAAATCAAAGTCTAGTTCAACAACAAAATATGGAAATATTGAAAAAATCTATGCAATATTTTACACTTGAAATAACAAGAGTGCACACGCTGAAATGTCTCGCCTTCTTTACTAATCATTGATATTATGTTGATAGTCCTCAATATAAAGCTTTATTACAACTGTCACATAAACTTAACATTAACCAAGTAAACTAAACATTGACCAATGAACCATGAAAATGAGGTCAAGGTCAGATGAACCATGCTAGGCAGGCATGTACAGCTAACAATTCTTCCATACAACAAATATAGTTGACCTATTGTTTATAGTTTAAGAAAAACAGACCAAAACACAAAAACTTAACACTGAGCAATGAACCTTGAAAATGAGGTCAAGGTCAAATAAAACCTGCGTGACTGACATATAGATCATAAAATATTTCCATACACCAAATATAGTTGAACTATTGCATATAGTATTAGAAAAAAAGACCAGAACTCAAAAACTTAACTTTGACCACTGAACCATGAAAATGAGGTCAAGGTCAGATGACACCTGCCAGCTAGACATGTACACCTTACAATCATTCCATACACCAAATATAGTAGACCTATTGCATACAGTATTAGAAAAACAGACCAAAACACAAAAACTTAACTATAACCACTGAACCATGAAAATGAGGTCAAGGTCAGATGACACCTGCCAGTTGGACATGTACACCTTACAGTCCTTCCATACACCGAATATACTAGACCTATTGCTTATAGTATCTGAGATATGGACTTGACCACCAAAACTTAACCTTGTTCACTGATCCATGAAATGAGGTTGAGGTCAAGTGATAACTGTCTGACGGGCATGAGGACCTTGCAAGGTACGCACATACCAAATATAGTTATCCTATTACTTATAATAAGAGAGAATTTAACATTACAAAAAATCTTAACTTTTTTTTCAAGTAGTCACTGAACCATGAAAATGAGGTCAAGGACGTTGGACAGGTGACTGATGGAAACTTCGTAACATGAGGCATCCATATACAAAGTATGAAGCATCCAGATCTTCCACCTTCTAAAATATAAAGCTTTTAAGAAGTTAGCTAACGCCGCTGCCGCTGCTGGATCACTATCCCTATGTCGAGCTTTCTGTGACAAAAGTCGCAGGCTCGACAAAAATTACACAACCTTTCCTCATTTCATGAAACAGGTCAGTACAATTTTATCAAGAACTATAAAAATAAAATGGTTCATTTTGTACCAGCTTATATCAAACTAACTCAGAATAGATCAGTCGATTCATGTGAAGAGATCTTCAATTGCCTACATTCTTGTTTAAGAATTGAATGCTTCTTTTTGTAATTTTATTGAGGTATAAAAGTGTTGAACAAAGCATATTTTTTTTATGAAGGACTTCATACTTAGAATGTGTGCATGTTCAATGGTTTTACAACCCTATTAAAGTACTAACAGAAACATTCATTTCTTATAATTACATTTTTTGCAACCATGAAATAATGTGCTAAATCAACCTTTCTTTTACTTTTTAATGCATTTTTTAAAAAGTTTGCAAGGAGAGCATATGCAGTCATAGATGTTGCATTTTATATATATACATCTATATAATGTTATTACAATTTAAATTAAACTGATCAGCTGCAAGAAATTAATGATTATGCACAGGCACCATTGCAATCAATAACTTATCAAAGTATATAATGTTTATCTATTATCTATCTTACATCTGGAATTTTATCCCAGTTTAATGACTTCATTGGTTTCTTAGGTTTAGGATGATTACTTGATTGACCCATTCCTGACATCATTCCTGGAGCTGGTGGTGGAGGAGGAGCACCTGTAAACATCAAATTAAATATTTTAATTGTTATTATAATACTTCATTTACTTAGTTTTGTTGATATAGATAAAATTGCAGAGTAGAACACAGTTTTTTGAATTTCAATATTTCTGTAGAACTTTTAGAAGCACGAAAAAAACTTTGTTCCAATGCTTAAGAAAAAACTGCATATAACAAAAGTTATCATGATATATGTTTCTGTAGAATTCATTTGCAACTTGTTAAAATCAAGAGCATACAGATAATATGAGTGCTTTGTACATAATAAAAGACTGAATAGGAATAATTGAATGCTTATTTTTTGTATAATTACATGTTATATAGGAATCTTGGATTTTGATTGGATGATACCAGTGAGTTTTTCAGATATTTTCTTTCATCTGATAAATTTGGTCAGGATATATGCAGTAAGGATATGACTTTTTCACCCTCTCTGTAGTAGTATTTGTCAACACCTAGATGCCCTTTTTACCCTTCACAGTGATGCTTGATCATTTGAGTGCTTCATAGCAGTTTTTGCTAATGTCTTGACAGAAATAGAAAGATGGAATCAAATGTTTAACTTAATCCCCCATTGATATTTGGTGTATCTAAACAGATGTATCATGTTAAGCTTGGGTACTTTAGAAAAAAATACCAGACTCTTTGGAAGAAATTTTCTTTGCCTAGCAGCCAAGGAAATTTTACCTTCTCTTAACTGGTATTTTTCACAAATAATCCTTCTGAACATCATATACACTGAAATGCAGTCAAGTTTAGCGATTGATAATTCATTGATAACATTCTGGCGTATCACAAACAAACAACTTGTAACGTCTCACTTCATTGGCCGAAAGATTTAAATACAACAACAATTGTTGTGTGCACGTGAATTGACACAGGTGACCGACAATGGAATGTACTACGTTACTACGAACGTAAAAAACAATGATTTTTGGTCGAAATAATTAAATAAGTATTTTGTGAATTTCAAATAGTGGGGTCGAAATATTATACTAATAATTTGTGTTAAGTAATATTCTTTATGCATGCAGCACTTGTACCGCACTATGAAAAATATAAGGATAAAATAAAATACATGTGCCGCTTTTATACGGATGAATGTATGAACCACTTTAATTTTTTTCATATTGACGCTAGGTTATTATCCAGACAATGTCGTAGTTACTTATAATAAGGATCTCATAATACTGATCCATTTCAAATTTATGATGGGTTGCACATTCCTCTTTTATTGTTTTCATGCTATAAAACGAAAATAAAGAAGCTAAGCGTTTGTTCTTCAGAAATGACGTGTCATAAACGAGCAAATTGTCCCCGAAAGATCGTACCATGTGTGCACGTGAATATAGATGTACTATGCAATGTACTATCATGGTCACCACGAAATTCAAATGAATTCAGTGAAGGCATGTTGGTGTAAAAAGGTTTGAAATGTTTCATCGGCGAAGATTTTATTTTTGCATGTGTGGAACTAAAAAATAAATAAATACTTGTGAGAAATGTCGTAGTTTATAAGGAACTATATAAATGTACTGTTTTCGATTTTGATTGGTTGAAAATTTATCCTTTAATTTCATACCGTAAGAATAGAGCTTTGCATAACATTGTTGAACAATCCGCCAAAGTAACGTGTGGCATGCGTGCGTATTAAAATGAAATACAAAATCATACATGTATGATAAACTTATAAACGAAATATTAAGAAATTAAGGATGACTACTGTAAAAGTATGTACAAAAATGGAGTCACCTTTTATCAATACATTTAGTGAATAACCACACTGTTTAAAACTGATTGTTTTCTATGCAACTATTTAAATATTTACAATATATAATTTTCAACCGAGGATAGCAAAACAGTTAATTATAAATTAAGAAAGTATATCGCTGGAGTTTATAAAGTACATTTCCTTCCACTGTGCCATGGTTTGCCATCTCCATTTTTTCTCTAAACAAAGCATGGCTGGTTACATGTTCTGAATTTACTTAGAATTTCGGGATTTTTTTTTTCAAAAATCAAGTAAACTAAATCAGAAAAAAAATCACACTATCCTAAAACTTATGAAAGAATATGAATAATGAACATGACAGTTTATAACACAAACCCATTTACTATAAAAATCGAGCAATATCTTTAGTATGTAATTTGGTTATTTTTGTAGTTAAGTACGGTTTCATTTCAAGTACAACGTTAATTCATCAAGTCCATTGAATAAAAGATAAGGCAGGGTGAGCAACTTGACAAAAAAAAGGCAGGATGACGATTTATGTAAAAAATCAGGATAAACGAATAAATATAGTCAGGACCTAACAGACTGAAAAATAGAAAGACAGGACAGAGATAACAACTAAAAAAAATGAAGGACAAAATGTTTCATCCAAGTCCTTCACCCCCAATCAAAATAAAATGGTAGCTCCCTTAATCCAGGACCAATTGAGAGGAGACTGTTGAATTAAATATTTCGACGGGACTGTTAAGATTAAAGTTTAAAATTTTACATGCACATGTATAAAAGCTAGAATTGCCATGCGATAATCAAGAACACAATCATGTTCGGGAATACGACGATGGAAGTTTTTAACGACCTTGACCGGCTACGTGAATACTGATCAGTCCATTCAGCTTTATAGTACGCGTGTTCTATTTTCGCAGGTGTGAGGTCGAAGGTTTGAATTGACCAATGAAAACGATCGTTCCTTAACGAGTTAATCTAATAAAGTTTGTTTGACTGATTATGTTGCACGACCTTTCGCTAAGCTTGACCGCAGTTCAGTGTATCTGTTAAAAATTTTGTTGTTGGGTTGCTTTCACTGATGTCTATCCTGAACATTTTTCAATCATATCAATTGCACAATAAATAATTATCAAATCATTTTCACTAGCTGAAATCATTAAAATCATGAATTGATGGAAAACAATGCGATATCACACCACTAAAGCAACTTTAATGATTGAATAAAGCAATACAAGCTCTTTTCTTCATATCTAATAAATTCTAAATAACCCAAATGTACATTTTTAAAACCATTACCCTTCTTGGGTTAATAGTAACAGCTACTGGTTGAGATTTTGCTTAGCATACCCAATTTGGTATGATCTTTACCTGGTGCTGGGGGTGGTGGTGGAGCCATAGGGGGTGGGGGTGCTGGAGCTAATGATTTGTAGTATGCGTCAGCAGATGAGGTTGAGATTCCTACTTTTGCATCATCAGGTATACTACAAGAGTTGATGACCATGTCTGATATTCTACTGTCTTGTGGTTTGGCTGATAACTACAAAATACAAAATACAAATAAAATGTCACAATAGATATGTTGCTGAATTGTTGCAAAAGGATTAATATAGTTATGTAGCAATTGGAATACTGCAGTAATGTCACAATAGGAATACTATACTGATGACACATTATGATACTGCTATAATTTCATAATAGAAATACTACAGTGATTTTACAAGTTACAAGAGGAATTCTGTAGTCATGTTACAATTCAAATGGTGCACTAATATCACAACAGGACTGAGGAATAATGTAAAATTATATGATTTGATACGATTCTGCTAGAAATGAAAAAAGGCAAATTTTCAATCCCACTTTGGAGATCAGTGGTTTATAATATGCACTCAAGTTACCTCTTCCAAGAAAACTGACCAAAAGGAAATTGTACAAATGTAAACTTAACGGTATATAAATAGATTAAATAAAAACACAAAATTTTGACAGACATGAGGGTAGATCAGGGTTGTTGTGTTTTTATATGTAATTTATGAATGTGAATTCAATAACTGTAGTCTGTTGAGCCAATATTTCATACCTGTGCTTTCAGCATTTCAATCTCCATATTCAGTTTATCTATAACTTGCTTTAAATCTGTTTGACTATCAAGTTTTGCCACCATTCTGGTTACTGTAGCTGCTAACTCAGCCTAATCAATAGAAATAAATATATTAAACTGTGATATGCATTGCCATTCTTATTCATAAAAAAAAAACCCAATTTATATTATAGGAGGAATCTAACTAGATACAATACATCATATAAAAAGCCTTGTATTTTCATGAAAGATATCTTAGGTTTTGATGGACTCTTTAGATAAATCTTGTATACATAGGTACAAATAGATTATATCTTAACAAAACTTCCAACCTTATAAATCTTAACAAAAGGATGGCACAATGTAAAACATTAGGGAAAGTTCAGACAACCAATAAAATTATTTGACCCAAGGTATTTATAATCACTTAACAGTGTCATGGAAAAAAAGCAGTTTAAAATAGATAACCAGACTAAGTGATGCATAAAAAACAAAAGAAAAGCACATAAATATCACTTTTATGTGTATATGGCTTTGTTGAATTTGCTTCCAAAGAACAGTATAAATTTTCAAGGATTTATAAATGTTTATGCAGTTGTGTATTTCATGGTTGTGGGTTTTAATTTTGGTGAATATTCTTTCTGACCAATAAACTTTATAATATTTTCTTTATGTTTATGTTATCTTACCTTTTCTTCATTTTTGATTTCACATTCATGGTCTTTCTTTGCCAGTTTACTTTCCATTTCTTCATTCTGTTTAGACAGATCTTTTAATTTCTGTTGTAAACTCTGTAGGTCTGTCTCACTGGTCATTCTACAAAGTCAGCAGTTAAAATATTAGAAGCAAAAGAGAATTTCCTAACATTACAACTGTCTGGTTTAAAATATTTTGTATAATCATTAACAAAATGCAATTGTTGCCAAATTATTTATTATTTTTACAACTATTGACAAAATGCATTTAATGAGGTCAACTAATATTATTTATCAATGAAAGTAGCTGGTCTTTACCAATCTGTTCATAAAGTATCCAGAACCCTTACTGGTACAAGTATAAAATTTCCAAGAATTTTTGTCATCTTTAAGAAGCTGTATAAAATCAAAATATCTCACTGTCTAACAATATTTTTGACATTCATTTCTACTGTTCCCACATCTGGATCCTTGCCATTCTTCTGTTGTAGCACTACTTGCTGCACAATCTGGTCAATAACTTTCCATAATCCAACTATGTTCATATCATTGCCAACTACAAAAGATAAATATTTGATTTGTTTTCTCCTCCTTGTAAAAAGATAAAATGAAATTAGTCAAACTATATATAACCCTGATTTCCTCACATGGTTAGTAGAATATACCTCATGTGATTTTGAATTAAGTGCACCTAACCCATGCATGCTCTTTTTTAAATGAATGTATCAACTAACCATTAGGGACTTTAATAAATGAAAAATACATTAAATCATACATATAATTCAAGTGCCAAAAAATACCTTGAACTATTGTTTTTTTTTTTAATGCCTAATAGTCCTCAACTTTTCCTGGTAAATGACCCAACATACATCTGATCTCTGGTTTCCTTTCCATAAATATAACATTTAAAGGACATTTCCTTGGTGAAAAGACATCCAATGTTCAAGTTGTATTCACACCAAAATCCAAATCATTGATTAGTCTATTTTCCTTTTTTTAACCCTCTATAATTTGTTTGTTTTTGACTTATGAAGCAGAAACTACAGAGACATACAAGCTAGCTTTGAACTTCTGTTCTGTTAAAACTCTTTCATTCAAACATCATATTTCATAAGATATGAGAATTTCAGATTTGTGAACTACCTTTTTTTTTCTCATAATGCACAATTAAAATCTATAATAATCAACTATAACATACATGGAAGTAGAATTAGATGCTGCATTATAGACATAAAGTTTTGGTAAGCACTACTCATGGTTAACTTCTTTCTCAGTACATCAAACATACTGTAAGCACTCTTTGTATCTACATGTACCTGAAATAAGAAAACTTTATTTTAAGGTAATGTCTTTTATATATCAAACAAGTTTTAGAATTGTCAATCTTTTTGGTTCTATAGTAATACCCGTTAAATCATTCCATCTGGTAATTTTCCCTTTTATTTTTTCTAACAGGATCAAAATGTTTCTTATGGTTTTTTTTCTGTATTGAAATTCTGTACAAATATACTTTGGACCATGCACAGTTTCTTCTTGTACTGTTCACAAAGTTGCTATCTGTAATCTACTCTGTAGTACAGTCACTGATATAAGAATGTAAGACAGCATGACATGGTTATAATTAAATGAAGTACTGTCTTGTTGAATGATGTAAATGGCAAAATTCTAGAATAAAGTAGTCAGCCAAAAAAATATACACTGGTTTCCTGCCTCCTAGTAGAAAAAAATACAGTAGAAAGGTAGGTTAAATAGACTACAAATGAAAAAGTTCTGAATTTAAAGGTACTTGACTAAAAATTTCAAACTTTAACATTGCTTTACAAAGAAATGTCCATACAATGAGTTAGAGTAGACAAGCAAATTTAAGATAGGTATGAGGCAGGAAACAGAACTAATTTTTTTGCCTTACTTAGTTTTGTTGTACTGATTTAAAATTACAAATAGGTGCAAAACCAAACTAAACTGTCAATTTAAAAAAAAAATTTGATGTTCAGTCAATCACTTAAATTAAGTTTATGCTAACCTCTAGATTTCTTTTTTGTTTTACTATGTTGTTGGGTCTCATTGATATAAGACCTAAATCCCCCTTGTTTTAATTTGTAAAACAAAATATGGTATAAATTCAAAACGATATATTATATTCTCTTTTGTAACAAAATTTAGAAAACTACCTAGTGAACAGTCACAGTCTAATTGAAAAGCAAGTGAACTTCTAGTCCAAAATCCTACATTCTATTCTGGTATGTTTTTACTAATTTTTAAAATATTGCTAAGTAGTCCTTAATCTGATTACAATACAGATCCTATGTCCACACTTCGCTTACAAGGATCTGACAATGCCCTGTTCTACTTTCTTTTTAAAGACCTTTGGGAATTCGATGGTTTTGTTGTAATAAAGCACAATTCAATAATTTGAAGGCTGAAAGTTCACTGGCTAATGTAATAATTAACAGAACAGAAAGTATAATGGAGTGCTGTCAGATTCTGTGCCCATTCTTTGCTTACAATGATCTGACAACTATTTTGATCAGATTGAGTAGATCTCAGTTTGTAGCTGTAAGATATTGATATATATCCTTGCTTAAACTACTTACATTTTCAAACCTTGAGCATAACAGCTTTTCATCAGCATTTCTCATCATTTCAAAATAGTCTAAATGTCTGAAAAAATATTAAAAAAAAAACTCATATGTAAATATTTTCATAATCATTTTATTAAATATAACGTCTATATAAAAACACATTGTTTTCTAGGAAAATAAATTGATGCAAGCACAAAATTAAGGTTTCAAGTTTACTAATCTTATTTGAAATTCTGTTTGATGAAGATTTTTTTACTTTATCTGCTTTATATGAATATCTTCACCTATGTTATTTAAGATTATGAGTAGCATTCAAAATCGTTAGCTGATTAAAAGGAATTGTACTTTTTTATTCAATATAATATTTGTTGATAAATGATTTAGGAATACATTTGTTTTCTCTTTTTAAGAATCTAGTCATGCTTGAAAGATCTTTGATAGTCTTTGTTCAATTCAATAAAAACTCTTCCTTCACTCAAAGCTATATAGATTATACACTTAGTCTATTGTTGAAAACTATAAGTAAACCTCTAGATGTCTTTTCTGTCTTTTCTGTCTTGCATTTTTTTGCTTTTTTGTTTTACTGCCTCATTGACATACAATATGCATCACATTTCTTTTAATTCATACATTGAAGGAAGACAGATGGAAAACACTTCTAAGAATCGCTTCCTTCAAAATTGTGTATTGTAACAGATATCTCTAGACAAAAGAATATCACTTTTATTGTTATATCACTTGCCTATCTTATGTACCAGTACAAACTTTAAACAGAACTGCTCAATTCAATTTCTGCAATCATAAGGGTGTATTTCAAGTTTTTTAGAACAATCTCAACCCTGAATTGGTATTTAGAAATGATCAAACCTACCTATCTAAAGTAGCATTTCCATGGTTTCTTAGTTTATCTATAACAGGCTGTATACCAAGCATAAGAAACTCATATCGAAGATGAAGACGAAATTCTAAACTTTCCTATAAAATAGATTAAACATTACAGTTTGTTAATTTCAATAAGAAATAAACGTTCATCTAAAAAAGTCATTCAATCATTATTGATCCTTATTCCTGTTTTTTGATAAAGTAAAATGTATATTACCCATTGTTGCTTTTTGATAAAGTAAAATGTATATTACCCATTGTTGCTTTTTGATAAAGTAAAATGTATATTACCCATTGTTGCTTTTTGATAAAGTAAAATGTATATTACCCATTGTTGCTTTTTGTTAATTGCAGCATGGAACAAGATTTATTCATCTCTTTGGTATATTTGCATTTATAGACAAAAACAAAATATGTATAAAAAAATATCTAGTTTATATTGTTAATGAATCAACATGGAAACAAATTATCATGAGAAAAGCATTACAAGTTCTACCCTTTTTCCTATACTATTTACTATAGTACTCAAATAGGAATTAAGAAAAATGCAACGTCTTAAATGTCTGTGTAATGCAATGATGAATACACTGTATTCTATAAGGTAATATATACTTTACTGTAAACAGGTGCACCCTAAATGATCAAAATATAGTTGTCATCATTCAGATCTATTTCCTACATGCATATTATATTTATTTGACAAGAAAAAAAGTATACATGATTGATTGAAAATATGTATGAGAATATCCTGGTTAAAGTCACATCTGAAAACAGCTGTTAGCTTTTAACAAGATCTAGTGAAATGTTTACCTGCCCTGGACCACATCTGAGAGCAGCATTGATGAAAGACATTATAGCTGTCTTCAGATTCACTTCCTCTCTGTACCTTCCTGTACTTCTTTCAAGGTCAAATATCAAACTCTGTTCAAAGAAAACAACATTTTTCATGAGGGGAAAGACAAATTATCATCTTTCAAATTTTCGGTAACTAAATATTGAAACTGTAATTTCTATCAACACACTTTTTTATGTTATATACCCAAAAACAGATGAATCACTTCATGATACTTCAAGATAGTGGATTCTGAAATACTGTAAAATGCTGCTGTAACATATACACCAATATTATATAATTTCCATAATTTGTAAAATAATTCCATTTCTTTTCTTTTTAACACTGTCACCTTCCCTGAACTGTTTTACTATTACCTAGTCTGTCATATATGTTTTTTCTTTTTTTAAATCGGAGGTCTATTTTAGTTTTTATAATAGACAATTGTACAAAATAAAATTTTGAAGTTCAAAGGATGAATTCTTACAGGAAAATGGCAAACATTTACTTGATTTCAAACCCCTTAACTTTACTTAATTTTGTAGTCCTATCATATTTTTTCAAATCTTGTTCTTTAAAATAAACTTAACTATCAAATATCTACTTTCTGTAATATAGCTATAAGAATGTAACTTAACTCTAAATTTTAAGACTATTTATTACCTGAAATCTGGTTCTTTCTGCAGCATATTTCTGGTAATGTAACATTGCCTCTAGAACCTTTTTATGACCACCAGGAACCAGACACATTGCACCAAGTATTTCATACAATGCAGTCTTTGTTTTAATATTTTCTGTTGATAAACTTTGAGCAATGATGTTTACACTATCAGGGAAAGCAAATACATGAGCTCTTCCTTGCTACAATACAATAATATTAATAAACAATAGTTTTATATCATTATATATACAGATGGTTCAGCAGAATTTTGGCATGCCAGAAAACCTGTAACTCATTTAAAAAGTACCTGTCTGTCAGATGTATAGAAGTGAATATACCTACTGGTTGTTTGAACAATGATCAGTATTTTAATGAATAAAACTGTTTATATAAACGTAGAGTTTTGAAAAATATCCTCAGCAGTTTTATTTTGTTTGTTATATCTTATTTTACTATTAATTTATTTTTAAGTATATAATTGCAATAAAAAGACTTTTCTGTACATTATCATACTGGAAATGAAATGTAGATGAGGTTGCAAATCTTCCTGCTATCATAAGAGCTAGCAAGGTAAAAATACAGCTCAAGCTCTGCTATCCAAGAGCTAGCGAGGTAAAAATACAGCTCAAGCTCTGCTATCCTAAGAGCTATAAAGGTAATAATACAGCTCGAGCTCTGCTATCCTCAAGTGCAGCCTGTCATTCCACTTTTAATTGAGGTTTATATTCTAATTTCATTAATATGTTCTTGTTTTAATACAGCACAACGATTCTTCACAATACTCCAATCAACCATCATGCACTCCCATGTGTTTCCTTTTTTCGCTATATATGCATCATCCCTAACATTTGCCCTTTGTTTTTTATCCCTGTCTTTCATCCTAGCTCCCGTTAATTTTACTTACAGAATTATTCATAAGAGCCTTTATACATCCTATAATAGATGTGTGTATACTGCTCTCCATAGTGGTAAAGTCCATTCTTTTAAGAAAATTCAGTAAACATTCTAAACCTTCCTTGTCCAGAAATCTTGTCACAAAACTGAAAAATTTATAAAAAAAAGTTTATACATCTATCTATCTTGCTAAATATTTGTAAATTCACAGCTCTTTGTCAAATTTTGTGTTCTGAATCAATTTTATGTAATTATATATTTGTACATGGATTAACAAACACATATATAAATGAAGCTAAAACATGCATTTCACAAAAAATCTTATCACTTAAACTGATTGTTACTGACATTGAATTGTACATTTGTTATCATTGATTTTTCTTACAAGATATTTCTATGGTGAATTACAGGTCTCCTTGAAATAAAATCATTACTAACATGATAAGTTATCTATTATTTTATTTTAAAGCTAATTTCCTAATGCTTGCAGGAGTGAGACTTTGGTTTGCTTGCTTGCTTTGTTTGTATAAACGTTAGCTAAAGCATTGTAATTAAGATTGACATCTGCAAACAATATAAATAGGCAGAGTTAAACCTTTATACATTATATTTAAATTTGATTGGATGCTATCCTGGAGGTTAGGAATCGAAAGCAAGCAAGCAAGCCAACCAAAGTCTTACTCTACAAGCATTAGGAAATTAGCTCTAAATTACCTCATAGGTTGTGTCCTGAGTGCTGTTTTCAGACCATCCACAATTTCCAATCCCTGATCTTCTTTGAAGTCATCAAAACTTACTCTAGTCTGTATCAATTAAAAAGAAAAGTTTATTTTAAGTAACAACATGAAGCTATGGACAATTTTTGCAATATGTTCATATCTTTCTTAATTTTACTTTTCATTGGCTGCTGATAGCCAGCACAGGGACCAACACTGAACATTATGGAGTAGAGCTTCTATTCTATGTATCATTTTTGGGAAATATTTACTGAGTAAATCAAAGCATCCAGCATCTTTGTCAGCTCTGACTCTGAACCTTTCTGATGAAGATTGAAGTGGAAAACTATAAAAACTAAGCAAAAATTTTATTTTACTTTGATCATATGAACATCAGATACAAATTCTAATAAAGTCACATATTACATTTTCCAATACCTTTTGATAGAACTATAAAGAGATATCCATTTCCTGTTGATTAAAATGTATTTGTTTTTTATGCTTTTTCTGCACTAACAAGATGAATGATATGTAACAAAGGGGACAACTATGTATAATGAAATATATGTTTTTACTATAATACATACATCAGATAAACTGTTGATGTTATCTATATAGGTGTCTGGCAGTTCTCTGTCCTGTAATACATATAATAAATCATTGTAAAATTAAAAAAATATGCATGTACTTAAAAATACTGTCAATCAGCTGCCAAATTAATTCACTAATTTTTGTGTCTATTATAACCACACAGGAAGTTGATTTTATTTTGATGTAGCAGAAGCAATGAAATCTAAATCTTGATTACATGTCTTTAAGATACAGATAGATGCAGATGCCTAATCCACTATCTGAAAAGTGTTGGCTTATTGGACCAAAATCTTGCTTAACTGAAGATTCTGCAATGAAAGATCATTGATCAATTACCATAGGTCTCAGGGATATAACTAAATGCAAAACTTAACCAAAGTCATTCAAGTGTGAAAAATAGGGCAAAATGACCAAATTATAATGATTGATTGAACGATAGTGTACCTAACTGTTGTTCATCTTAGTGTTTTTGTATTTTGGCTGTGCATCTTTCTTAGTGTTTTTGTCTTTTGGGTGTGCATCTTAGTGTTTTTGTCTTTTTTGGTGTGCATCTTAAGTGTTTTTGTCTTTAAGGTGTGCATCTTAGTGTTTTTGTATTTGGCTGTACATCTTACTGTTTTTGTCTTTTAGGTGTGCATCGTAGTGTTTTTGTATTTGGCTGTACATCTTAGTGTTTTTGTCTTTTAGGTGTGCATCTTAGCGTTTTTGTCTTTACGTGTGCATCTAAGTGTTTTTAACTTTTGCTAGTGCATTGTAGTGTTTTTGTATTTTAGCTATGCATCTTATAGTTTACTTCACAACTTATCTAGATTTCGAGCTTGACATGTAGTATTGATATGAAGAAATATTGTCTTTTGGCTGTGCAACTAAAGTGTTTTTGTCTTTTGGCTGTGCACCTTGTAGTGTTTTTGTCGTTTAAAGTATTTATTCAATGAACTGATGGCATATCTTTGGCAGTCGCTGTTTCTTCACAACTTTTGTTTTTTAGCTGTGCATCTTAGTGTTTACTTCACAACTTATCTAGATTTCGAGCTTGACATGTAGGATTGATATTTGTCCATTTTTGAGGACAAATTGACCTCTAACTTTTTCATCTGGTTTTACTATGTTGCTGTCTCGTAGACATATAACCCACATATTTTAAATATTTAGATATTTATCATAAATGAAATACTTATATTGCAAATGCAAATTTTAAGAAAAGTCAAATTGACATAAAACTTCCAAAACTTAAGCCAAGTCAAATCTGGCATAAAACTACTTTGCTGCAAAAGCTCTCTGTTCATCACAGTTGTAAAATATTATATAGTCTAAATAAATGACCCTACAAACATAATTAATCCACTCACTCATGCATACCAATTATTTAAAATTGAGACAAATCTACTCTTTCTTGTACATTACAAATGATAAAATGCAAAAAATATCTCTAGTCTTCTAGATAGTTTAAAAGGAAAATTATGTATATCATCATACCTGAATTTTACTGCAATATAGTTGCCATTTCTTGTCTGGTGGCAAATTAAATAAAGCATCTCTGTGGGCTTGATCAACATCTAGTTCAGCCTGAAATGATAATATTAAACAATCTCAGAAACACTAAGTGTTAAAATGAAATTTGTTCTAACTTCTACCGGAAAATCTTAATGAACAGAAATAGCATACCAAAATACATGACCCAACAATAAATATACTAAGTTTCATGTACAAAATGTTAAAAAAAATCTTGATTTTGTGTTTGTATTCCAATTGCATCTTAAATTTAAGAAGCAATTATAATTTTTTTTTATTATTATAACACAGCATATTTGTGAAGCTTTTATTTCAAAAAGCTTATTACTTTCAATCTGGAATCTCAATTTTCTTTTAAAAAGTTGCCACCTTCCAGACTGGATACATCAAATACTAATAATGTGAAGTCATTACTCCTAAATCAATCCAGCTTGAAACAAATTACTGAAACTGGTCTGGATACACACAGTCACATGGGTTGTTTCTTACATATTCTCTCACCCTCCTCATGTCCCCCCCCCAAAAAATGTTTGCTGTAAAATAATCTTTGGCAAAAGATTAAGAGCTGAAGTTAAATCATAGTGACATTGAGTAGCTATTTCAAACATTCAAAATAAGAGTTTTTAACATTACTTTTAAATTAAACAGCAGAGTTCATCTCATAAATCAAGAATGAGAGAGAGTGTCAATTTATTATTCATCAAAATGTCTTTGACCTTAAACTTTTAAATCACATAAATGTTAAATTATCAGGTGAACTTCACAAAAACTATTAAATTTATGAAAGATTTAAATTATTGCCTACATAAATACACCATATTTATTTGGAAACCCTGTCGCTGGTTAAAGTACCAACAGATTGATGTGTTCGTAGTACAAACCTTTGATACTATGATATATTTATAGTAATACATCTATGATAATTTGATTTATTCAAATTACTTTATTCTCATATATATCATAATTAAATCAAATATATATGGAGTCAAAACTAAATTATAGCATAAAAGAAAACATAAAATGTAATGGGTATCTTCTTCAGTAGTACATTATATGTAGTTACTTTTGGTATGATCTGATGCCTTCTACATTTTTGTTGTTGCAGCACATTGTTTATTTTTCTCAATGTCGTGTAAGGTGTTATACAAACTAAGGGAAAAATAATTGATTGACAGATTGTTAGTTTTTTAAAGCCACTTCCAGCAAGCACCCTTAGCTATTTAATGACGGCCAGTTTTTAGGTAAACGGACAGAAAGTCACAGGACAAAAAGTCACAGGGCAGAAAGTCACAGGACAAAAAGTCACAAATAATGTGTTGGCAATTGTTTGAATATATAAGAGAAAGATCTTGAAATATATTTTTTTTATTTCATATATTCATTTTACAGTGTAGGAAAAAGTTCATTAGCCTTGATAAATGAAAAATTATTAAATTTTAACAATCTTTAATCATGCAAAGGATATATTTCTTGGCACAATAAAGCCATTTAAGTACCAAGCCACTTTGACATTTTGATTTCTTAACAATTCTTTGATCAATATTGAAATTTTAATTAAAAAGTTGCTTCATATATAATAGTTCAAGAAAAAGTACAAACATTTTTTTTTTTTAAATAAGTGTTTTCTTATTCAAAGAAAAATAATCTCAAAACTGAATATTGTCCTGTGACTTTTTGTCCATGACTTTTTGTCTGTGACTTTTTGTCCTGTGACTTTCTGTCCTACAATCAGTTTTATAAGATAGATAAATTTATATTGGTAGAGGAAGCTGGAGTCCCCAAAGAGAACCACAGGTTTTCAATAGGAAACTGGCAATCCGCAAAAATTATAGTATCTATATTCAGTTCAAATAGTTATTGATGAATGCATAAAAATAACACAATATCATAGCTATAGGTTGAGAATCATAAAATAATGAACTTGCTTATTATTCTTTTGATTTTGCATTTATAATGTATAAATTAAGAAATTAAAATAATATTTCAATTCACAAAGAAAACCTGTGATATCACTGGTTAGCATCTGTACTAATTAAATATAAATAAAATTTACAAATTAGCATGATTCATTTGTTTAAATAAAATCATATTGGAAAATTTGAACTTGTAGTAACCTTTATCTGAATTAAACAAAAGATATTTAAAAGTAATTGTTTGATGAGATCTGGAGTTGACAGCCTCTGGTCATACATGGATTATTACACAGATTAGCCTAGATAACATTTATGTCATCATGAATTGTAACCAGTCACTGTGTCAAATACATTAATTATACCCTATGAAAACATATGTCATAAGGTCATAAAGGTAGTCCACTTCTTACATTTATCATAACTATTCTATATTCTAACTCGTCAATAGCATGTTTATATCAGAATGACATCAGTATTTCTTTTTAATCTAAAATGTTATTATAAGGTGGCAAAGGGTGGTCCCTCATCCTAAATTCATCAACTTGTGAATGGAAATGAGAAACAACACCTGAATTTAATCATTCTTTTAGCATAGAAAACTCATTAAACTGATAATAACAAATATTTAAGTGTTTTTAAAATATTTACAGAATACAGTGGTATGTTCAAAATATTGTATGTGGATTATCTGTAAAGAATCATATTTTTACCTATGTCCAACTAATTTATGAATGAAATTTCTTTAATTTGATACAAGCAGTAACTTGAGATGTGTGCTATCTTGTTTCCTCTGCCACTTCACCCTAAGTAGAATAACTTCACAATTAATCCTATTAAGGAAGAATATCTTGTACAGTTTTGATCAGAGAGGAAGATAATTGAGTTTGGTTGAAACTCCGTCTTTTTCCTATCTTAATACATTTTTACCATGCATTTGACAAACTTTTCAGGACTGTAAACATGAGAAATTTTCACACAGGGGTTATTTTCGCTTCATGATAGCCTTAATTACTCTAAATATAATTATCTTCCCCCTACAAACAGTTTGTACAAGTCAACACTTATATTGATGTGAAGGTGCACTATCCATTCAATGCTTGAAGTTAATCCTTTGTGTGAAAAATTATTCATTGTAATCGCACAAATTTGCATTTTGACATTTTAATAAAAAATTTTCATATCATATTTAAGAAATTGTGGAAAATTCTTTGAATCACAACTACTACTGTACCAGTTTTTAAACATACTGAGAAAGTTTTCTATCGGTGATTCTTTTTAATGTTGGTTATGGGTAATGAAATTGTACTTTCAACATTGCATGTAAAAAAAAAACACAGGAAAATCTGCTTTCCTGTGGTAGCAAATCTTGAAACTAATAATGACCCATGAAATCCACAAACTGCATGGTTTCCAATTTACAAAAAAAAAATTTGCAAAGTTTACAATAATTTTCATAATCTAATTTCATAAACAGTTGTTTCCTGCTCTGGCAGCATGTGTAATGTAAAGAATTTATTTTTCTTAATATTTAAATATTTATATAAATCATTTTCCTTATGGTAGTTTGTTTGTTTTCGTTGAAAATTATTATAGAGTTCAAAATTTACTTGTGTAATCAAATTTCAGATTACATAATACAAAACTCATCCCTTGGAGAAATCAACCATACTGGTCAGATGGGATCCATTAGTAGTTTTCATGTGGGAAACTATCAGACCAATCTATTTCTTTCCGAGATCCTTTATCGTAGGATTTTCGGCTTTCCTCTACCAGGAAAACAGCTGGGCATTTAGCTGTATCTGTTTGGAATCCAAGTATGTCCTTACCGGTTTCCCATTTGTTGCTTTGGCATTTGTGCGGCATCCGGGTACGACCTTATCCTTTTTTGTATATAACTGTTTTTATATTTTGCATTTTTTATATTTTTGAGGATGAGCGAATCAGGTGAGTGGGTGCGTTCGTATGTTTATGCATTGTATTTATTGTTTTTGGTGAAGGTTAACTTTCTGGTAGTAAGACCCGTCACGGCCAGGCTGGGAAACTGGGTAGGCAAATGCTCACATTAAATCTGTACCGATACAGTGTGTTAAATGTCCTCCTTTACACCATAACCCATGGTGGTGCTCCTACTAAAGGAGGAAGATACAGAACATACATACATACTGGTTAAGTGGAAGTGGTACTGCCTCAAGTGTGGAAGGTAATAAGTTTGATCACCAGCCTGGTCAAACGATTGACTTCAAATTTGGTATTTGTTGCTTTTCTGCGATGCATGGAGCATGTACAAGTTAGACTTGTAATCTTGAAATCAGAATATTGGATCACATTTGAATGACAGGTATTCTGTTAAGAATCTTTTAAGTGTAAAGTACAGAGCATAAACATGTCATCATCATGAATATGCATTCAATATTGGTCGCTGGACATTCAACAGCATAAATCAATCAATCTTGAAATTTAAAAAAATGGGACAAAAATTTTAGAATTATGGAGACAGGGGCGTTTTTTTTTTTATATAAATGATTTTCTACTCCATTGGCACTGTTTCCTGTGGACACATTTCAACACTCAACCTTAGTGGTTCATCATGTTTATTATCCTTTATAATCTATTCAATTCTTAACCACAAAATATATTTTAACATGTATTTTTGCTTGTTTTGTGTGATGTACTGACAGCTGCTTGATTTCCATGTCATTCAGAAATACATTACATGTATGTTTTTTGTATCTAATATGTCACGAAGACATATTTATTAATACTAAATAAGATCTTAATTGATATTTTTAGACAACTGTAATTAGTGAATGAAGAAAACAATATAAATATCAACATTCATATTTATAAATCCCAATGAATTTAACAAAAAAGTTATAAACTATTTGGGATTAATTACAACCTCAAAAATGTCCCTTTGAAATATGGATAATTGCTAATCCTTACTGATATTCATTGTCCATTAGCCCTTTTCAAAAAAAATCTTACCAGTAATAATCTTCATAAGTTTTATGTGAATGTTAAGATCTTAGGAGTGGTTTTAATTGTAAGATTTTTTGTAAAATGGGTTGTAGAGCATTTATTTTTCAAATTTCGTCAGCCAGATAAGAAAACAGCTCTGGACATCAAATCCCAGCTGGGATGAGGATTATTGCTGAGATACTTTAATGTTTTTGGGATAAGGATTATTGCTGAGATACTTTGATGTTTTTGGGATAAGGATTATTGCTGAGATACTTTGATGTTACTTTGTTTGACTCTAGTTTATCATACAAATAGATTGTAAAAGTGCTATCTTAACTGAAATCATAAGATCACGAATATATTAATAATAAAAGTATATTAAAAAAAATTATGAAAAAATCGTGAGCAGAGGTGAATGAGTCACTAAAAGATGTAGTTATATGATATAAATCATTGCCTTTGTCTATAGATGTTATGCAATAGTTTGTAATAAAACTTATAAATATTTTTGATAAAAACCAAATAAACTTTACCACAATCTCCGAAAATTTTGTATCAATCTCACTTTCATCATCTGGCATGGGAATGTCAATCTGAATGGGTTGGATAGGATCTTCAAGACGTGTTATTTCTGGAGGACGTCCACTAAAACAGCAGCACCAGGTGCTTTGCTTTGATGTCATCTTTTATGATATTAAACTTCAACTGAAAATAAAGCAAGATGTTAAAAATTCATAGATATCTCAATCAGTACAAAATGTATTACATATTTCTCACTCAGTATATACATGATATACCCATTGGCGATGAATGCATTTAAGCAACAAGAAAATTTTATACACTGTTCAATTACCGATAAAATTTTCAAACCACAAGGAAGTCAATATATATATTCATACTGTGGGGTTTTAGACACTATTTTGTTTATTATGACTTTAAAAAACCCAGAAAAGCGCAAAAGTGTGAAAAAAAATCTAAGATTGACATCCTTGTGGACAAATGACATCAAAAATGTTGATAAAATGTAGAAATGTATGATTCACTAAGAATATAGAATTAACATGGTCAAGAGAACAAGAATAGAAACGTGCAAAGCTGAACAACATTTGTAGATTAAATTCTAAACTGTAGCTCTACAATATATAAAAGCTATAATCGTGTACTAATGTACAGATAGGGCAAACGACCTTGCTCTTTGGCCTAATGATTGAAAAAGTGCAAGCATTATGTATGATCAAGTGCAGACAAAGTAGTAGAAAAAGAAGGCCAACCAGACAGACAGATGGTAAAATTACTATTTTCCTTCCACAACTATGTCGTAAGGGAATAATTAGAATCAACAATTAGAAGTATTTGCAACATGAGAGCATGGGAAAGTATGTTATGAAATAGGTCACTTAACGCTGCAAAACCCAAACCAGATTCAAAATCCAGAGAACTTTTTATTCCACAAGATCTGAATAAAAGCTAAATTTTCTTTCAAACAACCACCGTAAGTATGGACCTCCTGAATAACAAAAACAATTCAAAATTATTAAAATCATTAAAATCATTATAAAGACTTTTTAAAAAGTTTGAAGTTATTCATGACAATTGGTAAGTGAATGTGTAGCATTTTTCAAGGGCAATATATAACATTTATGTAATAAATCCTTTTGTCAAAGATAATATGATGTTGTAATATATAGTACATAACTTCTATGAACTAAGTTCCTAAATCATTTTAAAACCTTAGTACATGTATTCTGTTACCACTCAAAAAATGTAAGGAGATTGGGAAGTGGTAATAGGTCAATATGTCTCAGATTTAGTGATTATCTGACACATATAAACCTCATTTTAGTCAACCAACTCATGAAGACAATCAATTAACTTTAAATCAGGATGGAACTTCTTATAGACAAAAAAACTTTCTTGTGGCTAAAAATGACGCATTTTTAACATTACACATTGAAAATGCACTGAATGTATACAACTGGAAAACTTTTAACTAAAAAAAATTAAAAAAGATGGATGTACAACATAAAATATCTTACAACATATTTGTAGAACAAACTAGTGGGTAAATAAGTACAAAAACAAATACTGCATTTTTTTTTCTTTTTCTGAAAATGATTAATTTAAGGAATGGCAACAAGTTACTTGCCAGGGTCAGTGATAGAACAGAAATAAAATAGCCAACTAAAGTGGTGGTTTATTACTGACCACTCATTTGGAATCTAAATAAATCTGTTATAATCAAATAAGTGTTCATTCTAACATACTGTGTTCAGATAAAACAGCAGTGCAGAATAAATACAAAAATACTACAGAATTACTAAAAGGGAGGGTCTAGAGGAGGTTTTCAGAATAGAGAATAATGGGCAATACTACAGAAAAATGGTCCAAAAAAATAGGGAATAGGAGAAAAATGGGCCAAAAAATAAGAAATAGAGAATATTCGTTTACTAAAATATAAAGAATAAGAGAAAAATAGGACAAAAAATAAGGATAGAGAAATATAAAGAAAAGAGAATAATGGTGTTCTAAAATATAAGGAATAGAGAAAACTAGTAATGGGATGCTAAAATATAAAGAATAGAGAATAATGGTGTGCTAAAATATAAGGAATAGAGAAAACTAGTAATGGGATGCTAAAATATAAAGAATAGAGAATAATGGTGTGCTAAAATATAAGGAATAGAGAAAACTAGTAACGGGATGCTAAAATATAAAGAATTGAGAATAATGGTGTGCTAAAATATAAGGAATAGAGAAAACTAGTAATGGGATGCTAAAATATAAAGAATAGAGAAAACTAGTAATGGGATGCTAAAATATAAAGAATAGTGAATAATGGTGTGCTAAAATATAAGGAATAGAGAAAACTAGTAATGGGATGCTAAAATATAAAGAATAGAGAAAACTAGTAATGGGATGCTAAAATATAAAGAATAGAGAATAATGGTGTGCTAAAATATAAGGAATAGAGAAAACTAGTAATGGGATGCTAAAATATAAAGAATAGAGAAAACTAGTAATTGGATGCTAAAATATAAAGAATAGAGAATAATGGTGTGCTAAAATATAAGGAATAGAGAAAACTAGTAATGGGATGCTAAAATATAAGGAATAGAGAAAACTAGTAATGGGATGCTAAAATATAAAGAATAGAGAATAATGGTGTGCTAAAATATAAAGAATAGAGAAAACTAGTAATGGGATGCTAAAATATAAAGAATAGAGAATAATGGTGTGCTAAAATATAAGGAATAGAGAAAACTAGTAATGGGATGCTAAAATATAAAGAATAGAGAAAACTAGTAATGGGATGCTAAAATATAAGGAATAGAGAAAACTAGTAATGGGATGCTAAAATATAAGGAATAGAGAAAACTAGTAATGGGATGCTAAAATATAAAGAATAGCGAAAATTGGGCCAAATAAATAATAAATAGTAAAAAATTACCAATATCTAAATATTTAAACTCAAAACTTGAAATCAAAGAATGGAGAAAAAACAGATTTATTCAATTTATTGCCATTTAAACAAATCTAAATTGAGTGAGAGAATTTAACTGCTGTTGTCACAGAAGTCTGGTTAAAGTTTGTGTAAATAAGCAAAATATGTTGTTTGGGTTATCATAATCAGCTGGTTATGTAATACTAATTCAACCTCAATAAGTTATGAAATATATTCACAGCAGTTTTATTTTTTCAGTTACTAACTCATGCAAGAGTTAAAGGAAATCCAATCAGGACAATTTAGAGCTTGGCATATTACATAGACACCACCAGTCTACTGTTGGAGACTGTATGTTACACTCTAGATTTGATAACTAGTGTTTTAAGCTTGCTGTCTCACTGACAAATAAGTTACAGTCGATTTCACAAAAAAACCTACAACTAAGAGGAAGTACACCACTAATTCATGGCCCCATTGCTTTCTATGTTAAATTCCTCAATTTCAAGCAGGCATAGCTCTTTTCTTTTAAGTTCAAATAAAGTGACAATCATTGCATGTCAAAGCAACACTTTATGGTGTCTTGTACTGAAAACATCAACATACCTTTAATGGCATATAAGAAAGAACTGGTTCCCGGAACTTCGGATGTACCAAAACAGGTACTTCAGATCTGACAAACAGGCAAACTGTACCCTCTTTTTAAAATTTGGTGCATTTTTTTTAATATTCAAAATTATAAGTCAAAAAGTGTTCTACAATGATCACCAGTCATTCAGCTTTCATTTGATACCAAAAATACCTAAATATTCTACATATTTTGAAAGTTACACTCATGCGTAGGAACTATTTTGTGTTAAATATGTACTACTTTCTGGTATGTGCTTTCTGGCCTGGCCCGAATTAGTGGTGTTACACCAAGATTGATCGTAAGTCATGAACAATTCAGTTTACTTACGATCAATCTTAGTGTAAGTATTTCTGTGAAACCGACTCCTGTACCTCATTTCTACTTTTATACATATACCCAGTACACATTTCCAGCATTTTGTAAAGCAAATGTGAAAACATGAAATTCAAATTACAATGACTAGGAATCTTAACAACAAAAAATTGAGAAAATAACACACAACAGCAATCCTGCATAGTGGGCAGTAGTCAGAAAAATATATTCACTTCTGTAAATCAGATGATTGAAATGTATTAGTATCTCAATATGGATGAAAAAGTTTTAAATTTCAAGTTGGCCACGGAAGAATTATCAATCAACCTTACAAATTTCAAGTTGGCCAGGTAAAACAATCAATCAATTTATGAAAAAAAAACTCAAGTCTTCTTTCACAATCTTTAACACATCAGAAAAAATAATCAGTAAAAAAAGTTTGTACAACATCCAATTTAAATTGTTTACAATATATTCTAAGATCAAAGTTCGTTTGGTAAATAAGTACAGAAAATAAGATCCAAAGTTTCTGAATTTACATAGCACACACTAGAATGTTAACATGTTTCTGTACTTAACCAACTTGGCAGGGGTGATTGTACAGCAATAAAATAGCCAACTGAACTTGTTAGTTTATGATTGACCACTCATTTAGAATCTAAATAAATCTGCTATAATCAAACAAGTGTTCTTTGCAACACTAGGTTCAGATACTGTGAGTTTGTAAAACAGCTGGACATACATGAAAGTTTTCTAAATATTGCAAAATTATCCTACTCTTATCCAATATGTGTACATGTATCTCAATACATTCAAAAGTATCAACCAAAACTAAAATGAAAGAATGCAGTAAACAACAAGGTTAAAAGATTGTGATTTCATAAAATTTATAAATTTAAATGTGCTTTGACAGAATGTGTCTGATCAATGTTTGAAATGAAATAGTCTGCTACAGATATTAAAAATTATTTTCTGAAACTATGGAGACTAATTGTTACTTCAGGAAATTATGAAAACATTCACAGCAGTATTATTTCAAGGTTACTGCTCATTCTTTAAAAATAATTACCGGGTAAACTGCATGTGCAGCATTTGTACAGCAGTGAAAAACATCTAAAATCAAAACAGGATGACTGAGAGATTTGATGCTGATGATGAATTTGTGTTTCACAGTTCATTACATGCATATCAGAACGAGAACATATTAATGTTACATGTATATGAATTCTACATTGTATTAGACCAACATAGTGAAACCATTTTGTTCACACATTGTTGTCAATATAATGGAATTTTATGTGACTGTCATACAAGTGAGAG